ACAAGGAATCAAATACTATAATTCATTGTACAAATTTTCATTCCCACTCTCAATTAAGGGCAAGGCAAATCTGTAAGACATTATGTAGTTTTCCTACGTTCTTAATTCATTATAGAAAACTACTCTACAGGATCTTTAGATTATTGATTTTCACAATTTTACATACATCAATACATGAATAATAGTAAGAAGACTAATCTTGATCCATGAGAATCTTTTCTTTGATCTTTTCGTTCTCCTATCTCATTTTTCCAATCTATCTCTTTGTCTTTCTTTCTCTTCTCACGCTTCGCTTTCTTATGGCCGCAGACGAACCCTAATCCCTTTTATTAACCAACGTTCATCAAGTTGGTTACCATAAGTTAATATTTTATTTTATCTTTATTTTATTCTGACTTCACATAATAACCAATAGGTCCTCATATTTTATTAAATCACATTTGGGCCCATTATTATATTTCACATGAGTCACATAATGGAATGAATTAATTAAATTAATTTTAACATTCTCCCACTTGACTCATGTGATGTCATACGATTATGTGATTTAATACTTAAGTCATAATGCGCATTAAAGGACCTTACATAAATTGGTTTTATCATTATTCATATTTAAAGATACAGACTATAACAAGAGTCATGGCGATTACATGTCATTCAATCGACAGGCTCCCTTCCATGTACTACTATATTATCTCTTTCTCCTTAATATGACTTTATAATGAGAAGTCCATAATGGGTTCAAACATAATATCATTTTAAAAATAATAACATAATTTGTTTTCTTCATCATAATTTGCATGCATATAAATAAAGAAGAAAACACAAATTTCGAAACTTATACGTTAAAGATCTCGAGTGTCACATAAACATTAATAATAATATTAACATTCAACATTCACTACTAGTAAACATAATGCCCATATTTACTATATGGCCAAGCAAACAACTTGGGCGGTAATCCCTTTGTTAAAGGATCAGCAATCATAAGATCAGTGCTAATATGTTCTATTGACACTGCTGTTTCGAACTTCTTCTTTAACGGCAAAGTATTTCAATTCCATATGCTTAGCACCTTTGGAATACTTGTCGTTCTTAGAAAAGAAGACTCGCTGCGAATTGTCACAATAAATTTTCAGCGGCTTGGCAATGCTCGTCGACTACTCCAAATCCCGAAATAAAATTCCGCAACCAATTAGCTTGAACTGTGGCCTCAAAGCATGCCACAAATTCAGCTTCCATGGTGGATGCAAGCAATGACAGATTGCTTCGCACTTTTCCATGAAATCGCTCCTCCGGCTAAAAGATACACATAACCAAATGTAGACTTTCGTGTATCCATACAACCAAGCAAAATCGAATCAGTATATCTAATCACCTCAAGGTGATCAACTTTCCTATAAGTAAGCATGTGATTCTTTGTTCCTTGTAAGTATCTTAAAACTTTCTTTGCAGCCTTCCAATGATCCAGTCCAGGATTACTCTAGTATCTACCAAGCATACCAACTCGCAAAACTAATATCCGGCCTCGTACATGTTTGAGCATACATCAAACTCCCAACAACAGATACATAAGGGATATTTTCCATCCGTTTCCGTTCCAAGTCATTCTTTGGACATTGCATGAGACAAATTTGTCTCCTTTCTGTATTGGAACGGGAGATGCAGAACAATTCTCCATTCTGAATCTCTCTAAAACTTTATTAATATATGCTTTCTGAGACAAACCTAACATTCCTTGTAATCTATCACAGAATATTTCTATTCCTATCACATAGTATGTCTCACCCATATCTTTCATTTCAAAGTTGTTAGAGAGAAACTTCTTAGTCTCACTTAATAGACCAAGATCATTAGTCGCAAGCAAGATATCATCAACATACGGAATCGAAATATAAACTTACTCCCACTGACCTTCGGATATATGCACCGATCAACGGTGTTTTCCTTAAATCCAAAGGACAAAATAGTATCATTGAACTTAAGATACCATTGTCGAGAAGCTTGTTTAAGTCCATATATTGATTTCTTAAGTTTACACACCATATGTTCCTTTCCTTCTTCAATAAACCCCATCTGGTTGATTCATATAAACATCCTCCTCTAAATTTCCATTCGAAAAGCAGTTTTAACATCCATTTGATGCAACTCAAGATCATAATGAGCTACTAATGCCATGATAATTCTAAAGGAATCTTTCTTAGAAACAGGTGAAAATGTTTCCTTATAATCAATGCCGTCTTTACGAGTAAAACCTTTGGCAACAAGTCGGGCCTTGTAACGTTCGATATTGCCATGAGAGTCACGCTTAGTCTTAAAGACCCATTTACACCCAACACTCTTACATCCTTCCGGCAATTCCACAAGATCCCATACACCATTATATGTCATTGATTTAAGCTCATCTTTCATAGCATCTAACCATTTATCAGAATTATCACCATTAATGGCATCTGAAAATGAAACTGGTTCATTATCAATACTTAGGTCATTTTCTTACTCTTGTAGATAAACCACATAATCATTCGAAATAGAAGACTTTCTTTCTCTGTGAGATCTTCTTAATACTATTTCCTGTGGTTGTTCTATTATCGGATCATTGTTAATCGCAGGATCATTAATTTGTTGTTCTTCTTGATTGTCGTGTGATTCTACAACATTTGGAACAACAACTCTTGAAGATGTACTAGTTATTGGAACTTGTACTCTAACTTCCTTAATCTCCACATTTCGTGAAACTTCACTCCCACTGGTTTCACCATTTTCAATGAACCGAGCATTTCCAGTTTCAACAATTCTTGTACTATGAGTAAGACAGTAAAATATATACCCCTTTGATTTTTCTGGATAACCAATGAAATATCCACTGATTGTTCTTGCATCCAGTTTCTTTTCTTGCGGATTATAAATTCTTACTTCTGTCTGACAACCCCAAACATGTAAGTGTCTTAACATGGGTTTCCTACTTGTCCATAACTCAAAAGGAGTCTTTTGAACCGCTTTACTAGGAACCCTGTTCAACAGATACATGGCAGTCTTCAAAGCATACATCCACAACGATACAGGTAAACATGAATTACTCAACATACTCCTAACCATATCCATTAAGGTTCGATTACGCCTTTCAGATACACCATTTTGCTACGGTGTACCTGGCATTGTGTATTGAGCACAAATACCACGCTTCTCAAGGAACTTAGCAAACAGACCAGGGTGTTGTCCACTTTCATCATATCTTCCATAATACTCATCATATAAAATTGGTTTCAATTTGAACTTGAAAACATAATTAGGGTTTATTCCTTTATTTAATTTTGAGAAAAATAAATTTGGGAATAAATTAGAGTTCATACTAATCTGATAAAGAAATCCCTAAATTCATAATTAGGATTTATCTTAATCTGGGAAAAACTTAATATTTGGGAAAACTTTCATACAAGGAAAATCATAAATCTAATAATCAGTGCTCTGATACCACATGTAAGACATTATGTAGTTTTCCTACGTTCTTAATTCATTATAGAAAACTACTCTACAGGATCTTTAGATTATTGATTTTCACAATTTTACATACATCAATACATGAATCATAGTAAGAAGACTAACATTGATCCATGAGAATCTTTTCTTTGATCTTTTCGTTCTCCTATCTCCTTTTCCCAATCTATATCTTTATCTTTCTTTCTCTTCTCACGCTTCGCTTTCTTGATGGTTTACCGTGAAAAAACCTTATGGCCAGAGACAGAACCCTAATCCCTTTTATTAACCAACGTCCATCAAATTGGTTACCGTAAGTTAATATTTTATTTTATCTTTATTTTATTCTGACTTCACATAATAACCAATAGGTCCTCATATTTTATTAAATCACATTTGGGCCCATTATGATATTTCACATGAGTCACATAATGGAATGAATTAATTAAATTAATTCTAACAAATCTTCAATCACATATATCAATCAAACAGGGTGCAAAAATATTTTTGTGGCAGATACAGAAACAGAATACAAGCATTTGAAGACATTAACTAATAAAAACAATTTCAATCTTATTTGCAACATATAACTACCCCTTCCAATGAATTTAGCTTCCACAAGAGATTAACATATATTTTATAATTACTGATTAGAAAACTAACGGCTGATGTACCTGATCTTCAAGGAGCCTAAACCACATTTAATTATGGAAAAAATGGGATACATAAGGAATCTCACCTTCTCTGACATACCCTAATTGAAGACTTACTGATTTTGATTCAGATCTCAAAAATGCTAATATAATAAAGCAATGTCTTATGCACAGGGACACTCCAACTCAATACTCGAATTTTTTTTTCTTTAACTTGAACTCCAAAAATATAAGTGCGCGTGTGCACAAAGAATCATAATCATTATTTTTATTTGTATATAACGATATCAAAGCCTTCTCATAATTTTTGGAAGATAGGGTTAAGGGATAAGTATTTGGATAACATCAGTGATGCTGCGTTGGCTTGTCCTCTAATATGTATGGAAGACATTAAGTACGTTATTTTCTGCACTTGTAGCATATAAAATTGGAACCCGATACTCGTTAACTTGGGAGCAATTTAATATGATGTCGACGATGGAATGATTGAATTCCATGTGAGCTTGAGTTTTATGCTCAGTGATTGTCTTTCTCAGCCCCTCCTGTATTATACTGTTTCTGTTTCTCCCTCACTCTCTCTCGTGCATCTTACAAATATATAGATTAAAAGTTATTTAGAGTACCTGATTGTATTTTATTTTTCACATTCAAGAGTTTTAAGTTATTTCAAAAATATGTAAAGAATCCCTCCAAATCTAATTTATCAAGAGAAAGTTCTTGTTTATCTCCGCCAATGTTTCAAATTTTGTTTTCACCTTTTTAATAACTGTTAAAACTAAATCTTCAGCTTTTTTTGTTTTGTTTTTTGTTTTTAAATTAAACCTAGTTTTTTTCATGAATATATACTCTAGTTCCTCTCACAACAAGAGAATGATGATGACTACGGAAAGAGTTTCAGTGCAATTGATTGAAATCGAAGATCTGCAATTATCCACCATTCTTTTGATTTCAAATTCCATATATCCGGTAGGAAATCAAATTGTTGACCACTTAAAATTTTTCATTTATTAGACATGGGTAGACCCAATACATGCCAATATGTACCCAACGCACCCATAAATACCCAACGATAGGTTCTGAAGGGGTCATTCCAGATTCAAAACGATGGAACATATAAATCTATTTTATTTAGCGTAGAATAAAAAAGAAGAAAGGAGAATTGAGGATGTGAAGGGATAAAAATATAGCATATGATCAAAAAACTTTTTTTTTTAAGGAATATATAAATTTATTTTCTTTAAAGGTCTCCTTGTCATTGTTTGAGGAAGAACCTGCAAACTCATTTTTTATTGCTCTTAATTTTCCCAAGGCCTTTCGAGTTGACTTTTTAACTTTCTTCCTAAGTGCCATGTACTTTCCACCCTCAACTGTGAATTCAGTTTCAGCCACTTTTCTTCGAACAACTGACAGAAGTTCGTGTTTGCAGCAGGCAATCTTTCACAGTACTACAAATATCAAAGAGCCTTAGAGGCCAATCTGATAGTTCATCAATGTGTTTTCTGCTGCATTATTTTACCAATTGTTGGGTAATTGCCAATTGGAGTAACTTATCAACGCTATCGTGCAAGTCATCGAGTCTGATACTTATTGAAGATGATGATGACAAAGAAGTGTGGCTTCAGGAATCCTTGAATGTCTGCAAATGCTCCACAGCTTGTGATGCAGTGTGGTGTGGTGCATTGGGCAAGATATTGCTGCGACTACATATACAGAAAGCATTTTATGTTTGTTTATAGCAGTGCAATTTTCTCCTCTCAGAATTAAAAGGTGGCCGGATATGAAAATACTATTTGTTCTAAACTTTAGTTCTTGCTATTTGATATTGGTGCAATATATAGCAATATAGCAAATGAATGGAGGAGACAAGAAGAATATATTTGTTTCAAATGTCACCAAGTGAGGATGCAACTACATTATCTTAATACTGGTCTTACCATCCCAGTGTTGTCACAGCGTTGTTTGCTGGGTGCTTTCCGTGGACCAAGCTTCCAAACCCATTTCTTTAATTTTAATTTGGGATCACATGAATATGATATATGCCTATAGATGATATACCTTTGCTATGTCTCCTCCGTCTTTTTAGGTCTAAGATATAAAATCTCAAATTGTGAACTCCAAGAGGGCAAGTGATTGGATTGAACGTTGGAAGTGGATCTTGTGTCTGCTGGAGGAAAAGCAGATTTATTTATAAATACAATCAAACAGAAGATGTTGAACTGTATAGGGCTTGATAATGGGGAAGCGAAGTGGGGTATCTCTTCATCTTCAGACATCAAAGATTGTTCATATCATCAGGATGGCGATGAGTATGCACTGTGCAGTGTTCCCAGGTCATTTGTAGTTGTTTATGCAAATGCATGTAAATAGTAGGACAAATTTATACATTAATGAATACTGAATTAATTCTTTGTTTTGCTCTGTGAAGACAAGTTCATGAACTCATTTTTGTTTATCAATTGAAACAGCTCCTCCACTAGACAATACCTTCTATTATGATGCATGCTCCATGGAGTCTGATATTTTATTTTAGTAGTTTGCAAAATGAGGAAGGCTAGATGCATGATAATAAACATTGCCAGGCCTAGACATAAAAGGAAAAATATGCTTCTTGTCTCCTTTGTCGATATGATCATATGCTCATTATGTGGCATTTAACGGAAAAAAAATTAAAAAGCAAACTCCATCCCCATAATTCCTCCGCTATATATAAAGTAGATGCTAAGTTGCCAACCCTTAAACTCAAGACTCGAGAGTTCAGAACACACAATACAATCTTATCCCTACCTTTTTGTTTTAAGAAAAAATGGCAGTCACCGGAATAAACACAAAGAGTTCTCTGCACACTCGAAGCAACAGCTTTCCCTCCGCACCTCACCCACTCGTATCACAATATGAGGGGCATCTGCAAAGATTGAAGGATTGTGAAGCTACTTCTTCAATATCATCATCTTCACTAAGCCACAAACTTGATGGTTTGCTGGATTTGCACGACTGCACTGACAAGTTGCTTCAATTGACAACCAAACAACAAGTCTTAGCACGGGAGTGCAGTGACAAATGCGTTGATGGCCTTCTAGAAGGGTCTCTGAGGCTCTTGGATATCTGCAGTACAGCTAAAGAATGCTTACTAGTATCAAAGGAAAGCCTGCATGATCTTCACTCAGTAATCCGAAGAAGGAAAGGTGATGAAACTGTTTGCACAGTTGAGGGTGCAAAATACATGGCTTCAAGGAACAAATTGAAGAAGGCAATCAGAAATACATTGAGAAATTTGAAATTGATCAAGAGTGAGCCAGCAATTCTTCCTGCGAACAAAGATCAAGACACTTTGCCCATGCTTAGTATCTTAACAGAAGCAGAAGAGGTCACAATGAGCTCATTAGAATCTTTATTGTTGTTTATCTATGACCCCAAGGGACAACAGAAACAGAGCAGATGGTCAACAATCTCGAAGCTGATGCAGCCTAAAAGAGTGGCTTGTGACTCTCAAGAATCAAACACAAATGAATTTGAGACAGTAGATGCAACTTTGCAGTCTCTTGTCCGTCACAAGTCTTCATCTGAAGTGTATCTTCAAAGCCATCTTGAAAATTTGGAGATGTGCATTCATGATCTAGAATTAGGAGTTGAGAAGCTCTCAAGAAAACTAATTAGGAACCGAGTTTCCCTTCTCAACATCTTCAACCACTGATCATTTCACATCAATGATTTTTGTGAACTCAATTTTGACCCCATGTGTACTGACTATCAATTGTACATGTACATTAATGTGAATTAAGTTCTGTTTTTTCTAAAGAACATGCGTTAATTATAGTTATTTCATCTTCTGTCTTGTTCCCTATCTTTCAATTTACCTCTGTTCTTTCAAATGTTCACCTCTAAAATTAGTGAAACCAAAGGAAAGGTTGAACAAACATTTTATGATTTTAAAACCATAACTATCTGATCTGCTTTCTTGATCTATAAAAGAAAGAAAATGAAATGAATGATTAAGGAGGAGAGGACTTAAGTGTCATGATTAGCAAACAGAAAATTATTACAAGAGGAAAGGAAAAAGAGAACTATGCAAATAAAGTATTCAGTGCACATGTGATTCGAAGTCAATTTGAACGTGGATCCTATCTGTCAAGCTTAATATTGTCATTAGGTCAATGGTTAAATCAAAATTTAAGTGTCCGGTCGCTCATGTTGGGAAAAAGAAAGATGATCGTGTTCCTTTATGAGGACAAGCTGATTGGTATCTTATCTTAACACGCAGTTTATTATTAATTGATGTGTAGGACAACAGTAAAGTTAAAATTCAAGTTTTATGATCACTTGATTAAATGATATCCATAAGCTCCATTCAAATAGGAGCATCTACCATTAAGTATGATTAAAAATACTTTTCTCAAAGACTTTATGTGTAAATTAGTAACAGCGATTGAATTAAGAAAAAGAATTTCTTACACTGGATTGTTGCTCAACTTTTTCTGTTTTTCCTTTCTTTGTTGAGTGCTTATTGTGAACTTGACTTTGTGTAAAGTTTTTTTACTTTAATCCAAGTCAGTTATATACTTATTACTTAATGTAAACTTGGAAATTCCATTGCTAAAAATTAATCCCAGTGACCTGTTTATGCCCTTCTATTTATCTTCAGAAAACAATATTTTTACTCATTCTCTTTTAAGCCGAGTAACCCACAGAAACTGAAACACACTCATTATATTAAGTTTGAAAAAGAAAAGGAGATGGAAAACGTTGCACATGTTAAACTAGCTGCGGTTTGGCTTCACTTTTAGTTATCTGTTTCAATGAGCGCACGTGTATTGCATCTTCGTACTCTTGTAAAAATTTATACACCCATTACAGAATATCAATATTAATATATAAGTTAAATGTTACGTGGGAACGAGTGATACAATGTGATTCTTCTTGTCCCTTCATTAGAGGATTTCAAGTATTGTTTTAGCTTTAATATAGCTGTCCACCCGTGCAGATAGGTTACATTTAAGGTTGAAACACGTTTTAGGTGAGGCATTTGCATTGAAAAATGTCATAATCATCAATCATGCAATTGAGAGAGCAAGTTGAGACAAAAAACGAGTTGGATAGTTTCCTTGGGGGAGACACTTTTCTAACATCTCTGTAATTATGTTTAGATCCAAATCTCGATTAGTTAGTCTCATCGATATTTGTTTTAGAAGAGATTCTTTATGTCTCCAACAGCCATAATATAAATTGACAATATGCCATTGGCTGATCCATAGACTCATCAAGTCTACATTCAAAATCAAATCTTCTCTTCTCTTCTCTTCTCTTGAGCAAAAATGGCATCCTCTCCTTTGAACCCAAAATCCCATTCCCATGGTCGCTCTAATAGCTTGCCCTCTAGACTACACCCTCTCATTCTAAAATGCAATGAACACTTGGACAGCTTAAGGGCTTCCAAAGCAACCACCTTTTCCTCATTGCTTCTTAGCCATAAGATAGGAGGCTTGCAAGATCTGATTGAGTGTGTTGAAAAATTGACTCATCTTCCTCTCACTCAAGATGTACTTCTTCATGAGCGTCAAGAGAATTGGGTGGATGAGATTTTGGATGGATCCCTAAGGCTCTTAGATGTGTGTACTTCTGCCAAAGATGCTTTACTGCACACAAAAGAATGCGCACGTGAACTTCATTCCATCATAAGAAGGAAGAGGGGTGGTGAGGTGGAGTTGACAGCAGAGGTGAAGAAATATTTGACATCTAGAAAGGTGGTGAAAAAGGCCATCTCCAAAGCCTTGGCAAACTTGAACGGCACGTCAAAGAGTTGCAACATCTCATCAACCACAAACAAAGACCACCAAACAGTGGCTTTGATTACCTTATTACAAGACACGGAACTGGCAACACTATCAACATTTCAGACACTGCTGCAATTTATCTCAGGGTCAACACAAATAAAGTCAAACAGTTGGCTTTCAATTTCGAAGCTAATTCAGCCAAAAAGAGTGGGTTGCTCGCACGTGGCAGATGAAAGTGAATTTGCCCAAATGGATGCAGCATTGCAGTCCTTCATTTTTACCAAGCCATGCAAATTCGAAGACACAAACAATCTGCAAAGCCAGTTGGAGAAAATGGAGTCGTGCATTCAAGACTTTGAAGAAGGACTCGAGTTTCTATTTAGACGACTAATCAAAATCAGAGTCTCCCTTCTTAATATCTTTAACCACTAGTCCAACACAGTTGGGACTGAATTTTTGTAGTGATCGATATAGATAAATTTATACATGCAAATCATAAATGTAAATGTCTAGTCATAATGAACTCAAAAAAATCTTTCTGGAATTTTGTCGTGTTATCTCTTGAGTGGATAATTTTTTCGAAAATTGAACATCAATTACATCACGACTACCGTTTCAATTCGCAGATATCCACCATAAAATTGCTAAAATATTCTAAATCCAGAAAGTATATGTGTTCTTCAGTTTTATTGCCTCCACTTGTCACATCATTCTTCTATTTTCTTGTGTGTGTGTGTGTAAAGCATAAACCAATTATACGTTTGAATTGCCTGCAAACAAAGTACAATTCTTTGTAAGGATTTCCCTCGTGAAGTCCAACTGTAGTCACCTTCAACTAGACTATAAAGAGTAAAATTGGAATGAATGTGTTACATTTCTCATGCTTTTTTGCCTTATATTGCTGTTCCTTGGTTCTTGGGATCTTCTGGACAAGTACAAAGGTGATACATCTCCACAGGCTCCCAATGATTCTCGGGCACTCCTACGCCTTAACAGTAGATGTTTATTATACCTTGTCACTTAAGAGCCATGGATACACTAATAGTTATGGAATTCACCAATTCAGAAACATAAGGATTTTCACCTGTATCTGACAAACACTAATTGAAAACTAAATGATTTTGATTAAGAATCATAAGGGTTTTCTCCCAGCATGGGTAGATACTAGTGGTTAAAGATTTGGAGTTAACTAGCAGCCTTCTGATGGACATGGTTTCTACTCCTAATGCCTTTGGGTGTACATCTGTTGACAGCACCTAGCCCTCAACATGCCATATAGCAGCGGGGGGCGCGGCTTCAACTCAAGTCAAGACTACTAATTTGGAAGACATAGAGAACTTTGTTTTCTGCACTTGCAGCATTAAAAATGCAAACATATTATTCGATAATGTCAGAACGATTAAATATGATGTCCACAACTTTATTCAAATTGACTGGAATGATTGAATCCCATGTGAGCTAAAGTTTGATGCTAATATGTCATTTTTCCAAATCCCCCTTCATTAATCATTATACGCTTACATGTGTTACAAAATATAAGTAATGTAGATAATAAGAATTACTCTTCCATTGTTTTGGTTTCTTTTTCTTTGGGGCCAGAGAGAACCGGAATTTTTTCACATTAACCATTTTTAGGGGGTCATTCCAGACCCAGAACAGAGGGAATATATACAATTTTTTTCTTTAGCAAAGAGAAAAAAATTGGAGAACTGAGAATATGAAGGATTATAGTTATAGCATACAAATGATAATTGTTGACTAGTGGCTAGAAATGTTGAGTAAGGTAACTGTTTCTGATTAGATGTCTTCAGAGGCGTTCAACTCCAACTTCAATATCTTCGTTGCCAAGCTCTAAATTTTGCACATGGCTATGAAAATTGTCAGTTTGAACTGTTGAGAAAACTTCAACACAGAGTCAAACATTTCCAATTCATTACTATTTGACACTTCAGAATCACAAAACATTCTCTTAGGCTGCACAAGCTTGGAGATTACCAACCACCTGTTCTTGATTAACTGACTTTTGGGGCCAGTAATGAAACACAACACAGATTCTAATGAATTCATAATGACCATTTCTACTTCTTTTAAGATGCTAAGCATGGAAGAAGTCTCCTTGACCTTGTTTAAAGAAGAAACTGTGTACTTATTTTGTATTGCCTTCAAGTTTCTGAAGGCCTTTCCAATTGCCTTTTTCATGGCCTTCCTACATGCCAAGTATTCTCGAACCTCAATTGTGAATCCAGTTTCAGCATCGCTCCTCCTGCGAATAACTGACACAAGTTTGGGCATTTTATCCTTCGATTTCAGCACTACAAATATCAAACAGCCTCAGAGACCTATCTAATAGTTCTTCAATATGTTTTATGCTGCATCCTCGTGCCAATGCTCGTTGGCAGATTGTCAATTTGAGCAATTTGTCGGTGCTCTTTTGCAAATCCTGCTAGTCATCGAGTCTGTCACTTATTAAAGATGATGATGACAAACAAATGATAGCTTCACAATTCTTGAAGCTGCACAAATTGTCCTCAACTTGTGATGCAATGGGGTGTGGTGCATTGGGTAAGCTGTTGCTGCGATAGTTCTGAGAGCTTTTTATGCCTATTATACTACCAGCTCCATTTTCTCTTCTCAGATAAACTGTTCTGAACTCCTAGTCTCGGTAGTTGATATCTGCTCAATATATAGCAAATGATAATAGAGAGACAAGAAGAATATTTTTATTTTCAAATGGCACCAATTGAGAATGCAACAACATTATTTTAACTCTGATAGATCTTACAATCCTATAGCTACCACAGTATTGTTTGCTCAGTGCTTTCCATAAACCAAGCTTCCCAACTTTTCTCAATTTTAATGTTGGGAATCATATGAATAAGATATCTGTCGTAGATGAGATACATTTGCTTTGTATCCTACATCTTTCCAGGTTCAATATATAAAAACTCAAATTGTGAAAACCAAGAGGGGAAGGTAAGTGGATTGACATTGGTTGTGGATCTTCTGTCTGCAGGAAGAAAAACAGCTTAATTTATAAATCGCTTTTAACAAAACGTGTTTAATTGTATATATGGCTTTGGGATCGTATCATTTTGGAATCTGAATGGCGATGTGTATGCAGTAGTCCCAGATCATATCAAATAATTTGTTGAAATGCATGTATAATGGTCTATGATGTATTAGTGAGAAATATGCAGTCGTTGTGTTATAATTTTTTATCATATTTTATGTATGCCAGTGAAACCAATTTCTCTTATTTTCTAACTGATGTAAGCATAATAATTACAGTACTTAGAAGCTAGTTTCCTATCCTTCAAGGTTCGTAGATATGAGCGAACATAGCATAAGAGAACACTAGAATTACAGTACACTGTATCTGGGAATTCTCAATGGAGGTATAAGCAAACACGACGAGGTAAGGATGCAAAACACTAATTAAATAAAATAGAAAAACTCAAAATGTAAATAATAAATGTTAACAAAATTGCTCAAACTATTAAATCTCATCATGAATCTGTCTTGGTCTAAATTACAAATCAAAATAATCTTAAGCTTTTCAAAATATACAAACATATATTCATAATACAGGTGGGGTTTATTTGAGGAAAAAACAGGAAAATTAATATAAACTTAGTACATTTGTGATTTGATTTGGTTCAATTCAGTTTTGGACATGGGAACCAAAAACTGAATGGGATTGGATCTTTTGAACACTAAATCCATTCAAATACGTCACGAATTCCGAGAGCATATATGTAATATATGAACATTATATTAAGTGATATATTTAGCATAACATCAACGTAGCAAGTACATTATCTACAACTGTACCCAGGACGATAATATCTACGCCTTACAAAAATTTGATGCCTTTAGATTCCTCAACTAGTGATTAAGAATGTTGAGAAGGGCAACTCTGGTTTTAATTAAACGCCTAAACAGTGATTCAAGTCCTTCTTCAAGATCTTGTATACAAGTTCCCAAGTTCTCAAGCTTCTTTTGCAAATCATTGACGTCATTTGACTTGTTTGACATGTTAAATGCAAATAACTGCAATGCAGCATCCACTTTTGCAAACTCATTCTCCTCTGCTACATGTGCGTACCCTACCCTTTTGCTTTGCATTAGCCTTGAAACTAAACCCCAGCTGCTTCGTTTTGCTTGTGCTGTCCCAGAAAAGAAATTCAGCAACGACTCAAATATGGAAAAAGTGACAACTTCAGCGTCTTTTAACAAGGTTACCAATGTCATGGTTTGGTAGTCTTTGTTAGTGATGGATGGGTTGCATTTATTTGCATTGCCCTTCAAATTCTCCAAGGCTTTGAATATGGCCTTTCGCACCACCTTCCTTGAGGTCAAGAATTTCTTAACCTCTACTGTGAGTTCCACTTCACCTCCTCTCCTTCTTCTTATAGTTGACTGTAGCTCACGGGTGCACTCCTTGGTGTGCAGAAGGGCATCTTTGGTTTCCGTACATGCATCAAGGAGCCTTAGAGATCCATCCAAGAGATCATCCACCCATTTCTCTTGGCGTTCCTGGACAAGTGCTTCTTGAGTTAGGGGTAACTGAACCAACTTTTCAATGCACTCGTGCAAATCTAGAAGGCTAGTTAGATTTTGCCCTAGTAATGAAGAAGAGATGATTTCACAGGAACCTAATATTGCTAAGTTTTCATTGCATTGAAGGATCAGAGGGTGTGGCTTAGAGGGTAAACTGTTAGAACGAGCATGGTTATGGAATTTGTGGTTCAATGAAGAGGTTGCCATTTTTTCTTCAACTAGACAAGACAAAGGAGTTGGTGTTGAATATGTGCAATTGACTGGCCAACTTGCTATCCTTCATTGGCTATTGACCAACATATATAGATATGGCCATGGAGACACTAGGATTCTCATCTTAAACTAATACAAATAATTGCTAACCGATCTAGATTGATCTAAATATTATCAGAGATATGTTAATGCGATGTCCCCCCACCCTAATCTTTACAACTCACACCCCTTTGTTTTATTAGTTTTTCCTAAAAGTCCCTATAATCCCACTTGGATTTTGGTCTATACTTTCTTTAGGTACACTGTTTATTTATCATAAGTTGCACGAGGACATTGACATTATCTTGGCAGTTGATACTGATACAATCATACTTTTGTCTTCTGTGAAGAATTATTTTATCCTTGTTGAGCTATGCACGTGTAGACTATTTTGGTAAAAGGAAATCTCCATACATACACCTCTTGGTAATCAGCTTGAATTAATTAGCACTAATAAATATACAATCATTTGTCATTCTATGGCATTATTTTTGTCACTTTGTACTCAGGTGTGCCGGTGATAGACTTGAAAGTTTCATTGCTTTTGGCTTCATTATTATGCCTTTCTTTTCATGTAAAAGGAAGCCTCTGTAACAGCAGATATGATATGAAAGAAATGTAAGTTCCATGTCTGCTGTTTACTGAGATGAGTATGAGCATTGACCCCCCTCCCCTCTTTTCTGCATAAATTATGAATGAAAGTGATGGATTTTATGAACAACATAGGCCCCCATCCCATTCCCATATCCTGATTTAGAGAGTGTTAATGCTGAAATATAATTTTAGAATAAATTGTGGTTGTGACGGTGTTAGTGCATTATAGACCTTGCTCTGCTGTCACTATAATATTATAGGAAAGATATGATAAGGAAACTGAGTGTTGATTTGATTTGTCTCATAATAATAGGAAGACAACCATCACATCGTTCAATGAATTAAACCTGTGATATTTGAGCCCACGAATGATAATTGAGAGCAGTTGAACGATCAATCACAAAGCCACCCACTTGAGGCAATCGTGAGATCAGCCACGCGATGTTGTTCCAATGATTCGTCCATAAAACATGACCCACAACTCATAGCCCAGAAACACCAAGATTTGAATTAGATCATAACACTTGAATTCAGATAAGAACATACAACTTTCACTATTTACCCAATTAAACCTTTTGTTGGTGGCTGATGTATCAGATTATTTCCAGTGTAAACATTAACGGGTCAAATATTCAAACTTCTTCCCTCCAAACTCTTCTGTTATTCTTTAATTCATTTTGAAGCTAGACTTGACATAACACCAACGATAGAAGAAAGACATGCTAACGTACATTGTAGATACTTGTGACAGCAGATAAAGAAAAGAAAAAATGAGCATAATTATAAAAACTTGACTTTGAACTTTAAGAAAGTCTACTAGATTAGAATTTCAAAGAATTTTAAAAGATTTCTTTCTGAAAAAAATGTCCTGTTATGTTCAATTAATACTTTTAAATTATATGAATAAGGTTTGTTACATTTAATTGAAGATAATTAAGATTCTTATGATATTTAATTAAGATTTTTTTACAGTTCACAAAAAGTATGGATTTTACTTTACCTCTATAAGGTATAGTCTCAAAAGTCTTTCCTAATGGGTTTTTCATAGTTGTTATACACTTTTTTCTTTCAACCCGCATAAATTATTCTTTAGCATCAAAGGTCAAAGCAGAATAAAACATTCACGTGTAATATAATTTTATTTGAAAAAATGTCTTAATTTTCAATTAAATCAATAGAAAAATCTTAATCTTTAATATTCTCATATAATAAAAATCATAGTTTTAGACGTGTTTTATTTTAACTAAAGAGCATAAGAAAAAAATATATGGCAGTGCATAAAAAAATAATACGATAAAACATCTAAATTAAGATATTTTTTTAGTAATTAAAAGATTAAAAAATTTATAAAGGATTTACTTTTGTTATCTTATTAACTCCTTTAATTTAGAATGTTTTCTAAATATTGAAGAGCTTTGAAATCTAATAGATTTTAAAAAAAAATCCAATCTTTTAAATATTTTAGGTACTAAATTTATTAAACTAAATAAATTACAAAATCTTTAAAAGGAATCTTACAGTTGTAAAATTTTTATGTAGTCTTTTAGAATCCAATACATCTTCCAAGATAACTTATATTTGGTGCCAAAAGTTTTTAGTTTCATTCATAAATGAATTCGATAGTTAAAAGGAAACTGCTTCTATAAATATGATCTTGTAAAGTCTTAAAAAATATAATAGAAATTGGAGTTTGATTAATCAGGGTTGAAGGAGACGAGTATTCCTCTCTCGGAGCTGCATGCATGCTTATAATTGGTGGAACTTATGGGAGTTTAGGGACACATCCTCCCAAAAATTTGTAAGTTATATTTGGTTATTTTTAAATTTAATGATTATTAATATTAAATATATATCTATATATTTATATTTGTAATTTTGATCCTCAACTTTTCATGTATTTGTAATTTTGACTTTTACCTTTTCATATTTTTTGACTTCACTAAGCTCATGGCCAATATTCAACTAAACGTGGGTGACAGAAGATAACAAGAGGAGCAAAGCAACTAAGATAGTTAGATTCCAAATTTTACTTAGAATCATACATGTTAAGTCTTAACACAAAATTAAGACCATACAAAAATATATAAAATACGTATATATGTATATAAAATAGTATAAATGAGGGAAGAAAAATCCATACAAAACTCAACACAAGTCATAAATAGTTTGTTTCGGGAATTGGATTCCAAGTAAAAAGATTAAGCTTTTTTCTTTTCTCACCATTGTATTTACATTTTTAATCTTTATATTATAATATTATCCTTATGAATTTATTCTTTTGGCTATTTTCCGGAATGATCTTTCTAAAAATATTTCTGAATAACCTTATATATATATATATATATATATATATATGAATGTGTCAAAGTTTTTGGGACTCAGGTTGGAGAAAAGTAGTTTTTGAAATCAGTTTCTGTGGTGTAACGAGTAAAATGGAAAGAGAACGACACGTGGCAAATGCTGTTAGTCAAGGAGGACACGTGGAGGGTAAACAGCAAATGGTGGCAACAAGACGAAGCACGCGAAACCGCAAAGAGAACGTGCTTTTAAGGGATTTCGGAGAAAAGAGAACGGGAGTTGTTGGTATGAACTTTCCTCTGACCTTATTCTTCTGTAACGATTCCTCTTCTCTCTCTCCTCTGATAATTGTCTTTCTTTCCATTGATGTAACTGTAGGTGGAACTATACAAGCATGTGAGCCGTGGATCTCGATTTCGTAGCAATGATGATTTCATGTATTTTCATATTGTTACTTCTGCTGAACTGAACCTCTGATAATTTCAATTTCGTCTTCATTTCTATACAAATTATAATTGTTCCGTTTCATTGGTGCTTTCATTGACATCAATGGCTGAGAATACGCGACTGAAGGAATTACAAAATCAGGTATCTACATTGATGAATTGGATGGAACGACAACGTGAGAGAGACCAAGTTCAGAGAGATTTTATCACTCAGTTTCAAAATTCGCAACAAGAACGATTGGATATAATGCAGCGATCCTTAGATCAGCTAATTCAGAATCAATCTCAGCACATTGGTGGTTCGGGCTCAAATCAAGATACTCGGGGAAATACGTCATTGAAGCTAGTTATGCCAGTGAAAGACATATCTCTGGGATTTCCACATTTCGATGGTCATACACCTGTACTAGAATGGATTTTTAAGGCTGAGAAATTTTTCAATTATCATAATACTCCGGATGTTGATAGGGTAGAGATTGCAGCAATTCACTTTGAGAAAGAGGTTATTCCGTGGTTTCAAATGCTACAACGCATGCATGCTGTTAGCTCTTGGTCTGAATTGACTCGCGCTTTGGAAACTCAGTTTGGACCTTCTCCCTTTGATTGTCCAATGGGAGAGTTATTCAAGTTGCAACAATCTGGTACAGTTTCTGACTATTATTTGCAATTTATGGCTCTAGCCAATAGATCTGAAGGATTGTCTAATGAGGCTGTGTTAAGTTGCTTTTTGAGTGGATTAAATAAGGATATTCATCGTGATGTAGTTGCTCAGAGTCCTACTACCTTATTGAGAGCAGTTTCATTAGCAAAACTGTATGAGGACAAGTATAATCCAGTTCCAAAATTTCATGCTAATCCTTACACTCACAAATATTCACCTATAGCTTCCACAACAACCATATCTAATACTACAAAAAATACCACTAAATCATCACTACCCCCATTATTACCAACCCCTTCCATTCCTCCAGTCAAACATACCAATATTAAAAGAATTTCTCCGGCTGAAATGCAACTACGCCGAGAAAAAGGATTGTGTTATTTCTGTGATGAGAAGTTTACTTTTAATCACAAATGTCCAAATAGACAGCTCTTGATGTTACAGACTGAAGAAGAAGAGGTTGAACCTGTGATTTATTCTGATTTTACGGTTACTGACAACAATAATAATCATGAAATGGGTGTGGAAAGTTATCCCCATCTATCCTTGGGTATACAAAATCTCAGAATTAAAAAAAAAAAAAAAAATAAACTTGACCTACACATGAAAGTTGGTATGCAAACACAATGTAGGCAAAACTTCGAAAACTCACCCTTTCCACCGTTTTTACTATTTGACACGGCGAGTCTACCTATTCTGCTCAGTACCGATTCTAGCATGGATGAACTCGCTACGGCATGACAGAAACTATTTCATATATATATATATATATATATATATATATATATATATATATATATATATATATATATATATATATATATATATATATATATATTGGTTCTTCCGTTTCCAAGTGATTCAACCATCTTGCACAGTTACACCCCTTCAACTAGACATGTTATACCAAAACCTCCCTTTATCATGCTGGAACTTGAAGCTTATGGCCAACAAATGACAAATTCATGGAGATGATTAAAGTAAACGGCTAATAAATTCGTCACAGAACAACATCATCATCATCATCATGTCAACACAAGATGTGAAAGCGTTGTGTCAAATATATATAATTTATCTCGGATGTGCACGTGAATGAAAAATAAACCATGAATTTAGTAGGAGGTATGATTCAAAGTGGAAAACAAAACTAATTAAGATATAAACTAAATCTAGGTGTTTGTAGCTCTAGTGTAAATCTGCTGACTTGAATGAGCACACACCATCCTAATTGATCCTCTGGCCATCAATTCCCTTATAGCCTTCCTCGCAAGTGATCCATTAATCTGCAAGATGCATGCATAACTATGAGAATCTTTTCTTCACAAGATAGGAAGCAAAATATTTAACATTAAAAAATAAACGATTATTATAAAGTAACAGGGAAGATAAAGACTAACTGACAATAAATTCTCTAGGTTGAGAAAGGACCAATTATAAACATAATAATACCAAACATGTGCTTTAGAAATCCACCTCAGTCTAATGCAGATATCGTAGAAAACTACCAAGTTCATCAAAATAGTGAAAATGTCACGAGTAGGAATGAAAGAAGTAGGGGAATATAAAGTACCCTCAGACGATCAGAGAGAATGGAAGGAGTAATGAGCTTATATTTGGGTGCCTCAGAGAGAAGCTTGTCATAGGCACCCTGATCAAACAGCACCATGTTATTCACCTTTTCCTTTTGCTTTCCCTTGCTCCACTTCTGTTACATCAAAAATTTAACATCAATACCACACTCCCATCCATCACACAAACCTAGAATTGGGAAACGAGGATGAATTGGAACACGAAATTAGAATTTGGGAAACAAGAACCTTCTTTTTCTGCTTGCCACCGCCAGACTTGGCGGGCTTTGATGAAGGTGGGGGAGCCTTGTCCTTCTTGGGAGCCTGTAAGTACCATCAAATCAGATACAAGGAAATTATATTGAAACAAAAACAGAATTGATGAATATAGCATAGAAACTTGCCATGAATTCTGATCACAGACGGGACGGGAGCTCCTAGATCACAAACTGGGCGGTAACTCTCAGATTAGACAGGGCAGCAAAGTGCAAATCATAAACCTAGGGTTCTTATTTGTTGTGTGTGAGGTAAAACGACCAACCGTACGTCGTTTCATTTAACTCTGTTGAGCTACTTTTTCAAAGTAAAATATTCATTTTATTAAATTTAGATATAATATTTTTAATTAAATAAATAAATAAATAAATAAATTCTATAAATAATAAAAGAAAAACTCTCTGAATATATAAATCTTTCTTCTGACCTCGTAAATTTTATTTTTTTCTCTTCTTTTTTTTTTTGTCTCATATCTAATTAACAATATTATATAAAATTTAATAAAAAGATGTAAAAGTAAATTTTTTAAAACCAATATTAAAACTACAAAAAATATAAACTAATTATTTAAAATTATGATGAGAATATATAATTTTATTTGTTATGATAGTAAATACTTTTTTTATATAAATAATTAATTTAAAATTATTTTATTATAATAAATTAATTATTCATCTAATTAAACAAGTTTTAAAGGATTAAATCTATTTTTTATTATGTAATTTAATTTAATTATAATTATGTTGAGTAAGGATGTTAGTCGGACTAAGTCATTTTTAAAAATATCTCTTAAAATATTTTCTTTAAAATAAATATTTTTTTAATAATTATAATATAATAACAATATTTATAATATTTTAAATTTATTATATAATATTTTTTAAAATATAATATATTAAATTATAATATTTATAGATAATTTAAATATTTTTATTTTTCAGAAATAATAAAATATTTATTTTATCAAAATTCAATTTTAATATAGTATTTTTAACTAGAAAAAAAATAAAATGAAGTGAAAGAAAAAAAGGAAATAGAAAAAATAAATAAATACAAATTGAGAATGAAAATATATATATATATATATATATATATATATATATATATATATTATCACACAATTTAATTGTCTATTATCAAACTTTATGTATAAACAATTCATAGGTAAATTCAGCAAATTTTATTCAAACTAATTTTTAAAAAAATATATTATTAATAAAATTGATTTATGTTATTTAAATAATTTTCTTTTTCAAATATATTATTAATGAGATAGATTAGATTACTTTTAATAATGGACTTTTTGTTCCCGTTGAAATTTTTATTGGAACAATTATTTTGTATGCTCCTCGATTTAATAAGTAAAACCTCACCCGCTCTCTATAAGATTTTCTAATTAGCATTACTTTTTCTTATATTCTTTTCAAAAAAAAATCCTCATTTATTTTTTCTTAAATAAAGAAACATTATTCTCCTGAGTTATTTTCAAACATGGTTATTCTGTTTTACTTTATTTGTTCGTCTGATGATCTACTTTTATATTTTTTGAAAATGTTATTAATTATTTCTTTCACATCATCTCTTGCCATGATTTTCCTTTTTCAAATCAATTTTTATTTATATAGCACATTTTGTTTCTAAAAAGTATTTTCCTCTTTCAGTTTTTTTATTATAAGAGATGGATTATTAATTTATACGTAGGTCAATTTTTATTAACACTAAATTTATTGTAAATATAATATTTTCAAATTTTATTCGTGATTGTGATATTTTTCGAAATTCCCCTTAAATAATTAATGCACGAAAAAAATACAATGATAATATTTTTTATTTTTAGAATTATTCAATTCTTCAACCTTTATAAAGTAATAGAAAGTTATGACTCATAACATTTGTTATTTGAAAATAAAAATAATGAAGGGTATTTTGATATAATAATAATAATAATTAACAAATCTGTAATTATATATAAAAGAGATTTATTTATTTTTAAACCATTGTTGTTGTGTTATAAAAGAGAGAAAATAAAAGTATTATAATTAAAAAAAATAATTATTATGATTTATATATTTAAAAATTAGTAAAAATATGATAAAAGAGAAAATAATATATACGTAAATAATGAAAAGAAAAATTAAAATAAAATAAATTTTAAAAAAATATAGATACACATTCGCTAAGTTTATATTAGTATCTTATAATTAGAATACGGACGTAACGAATGATTATTGGTTGATCAATCACAAAGCCACACGACATTGTTCCAAAGCTTCATCCATAAAACATAATCCTTAACTAATAGCCCAGAAACATCAAGGTTTGAATTAGATCATAACACTTGAATTCAGATAAGAATATTTTACTTTCACTATCTACCAAAATAAACCTTTTGTTGGTGGCTGGTGTATCAGAATATTTTGGGTAAACATTAACAGATCAAATATTCAAACTTGTTCCCTCCAAACTCTTCTGTTATTCTTTAATTTATTTTGAAGCTAGACTATATATTGCAGGTACTTGTGACAGCAGGTACAGAGGAGAAAAATAAGGATAACTATGAGAACTGGAATTTGAACTCTAAGTAAGTATTCTAGATTATGAATTTAAAGAATTTTAAAATATATTTTTACAAAAACAAAGTCCTATTATGTTCAATTAAAGCATTTTAATAATAGTTACAGCTTACTCTTTTGGACTGCAGCAAATTATTGAGTATTGACCATCTAATGTCCTTTGGTTGTCCTCTTGAAACAGAAAAATAGTCTCTAGTTGAGAGAGACAACTTCAACCTTTTTATGTTGCTAATCTTTGTAAGGAGATCCTTGTTAAATATCTTGAAAGGTCTATGGAGTTACCTTCTTCACGTTCTTCCTTGTTGACACAGTTAACTGCAACCCTCAATTCCTCTCCTAGTGTCACAAAACTTTCCGGGCTACATGCAATACATTGACCTATCTATAACTCAAATCAGGTTTTCTGATGTGAAAATCAACATGGTGCAACTAAAGGGGACAGAATTAACTAGGGGCTGAGTCACTCTTATATTTTTAATATTCGTTCATCCGTTTCCAAGTGACTCAATCCAAACATCGGCACAATTGCACCCCTTTAACTGGCACATCCTATACGAGAATGGCCAACAAATGAAAAAGAACTTCTAGATGTTAAAATAGGCTCTGAACGGATAGAATTTTTTTAATTTTTGGCGTAGGTTACCCAAAAGTATAAACTCTACAACTGCATGCACTCTTCTAGTGCATTTATATCAATAACAATTACACAAATAACATTACTCATCACAAACTTATCTGAAATGATTTCAAAACAGAAATCTTTTTCAAAATTTAAAGAAATAATCTGCCTCTTTAGGTAAGTTTTGAAGTAGAAAATAACATTGCGAATTCAGCTAAGAAATAAGCCTCAAAACAACATTAACATGTTAACAAAAATTGACAAACATGATAAAATACAAAAGCGTTGTGTCAAGGATGTGAAAGGAAATAAACCATGAATTTAGTAATGATTCAATCTAGATGAGGTATGTCTCAAACTGAAAAATAGAAGATAATACATAAGGTATGACCAATACTATATCTAGGTGTTTGTAGCTCTAGTATAAATCTGCTGACTTGCATGGGCAGACACCATCCTGATTGAACCTCTAGCCATCAAATCTCTTATAGCTTTTCTTGCGAGTGATCCATTGATCTACAAGGTACATGAAAATCAATGAAAATATTTTCTTCAAATAATATCCATAACCATAAATTGAAGTCATCGATCAAAAACAAGATCAGAAATGCATAAAAATAACTGATAACAAGAATGCAGAAAATTTCAGTAAAATAAGACATAATTGCAACTACTGTTAAGAAACTGAATGAGAATCTTAGACCATAGAGGATGACAAATGTTGTTTTTTAAGATGTATGCCCAATAGCAAAATCATGGTGTTTTGGAATGATTACTGAATCCTAACATCATACTCATATTTCACAACATACTGTTAACAGGGGAAAACAATAGTTGATAAATCTAGAAAAACACAAAAAAAGACCATTACAAGAAAACATAGGCATACTCAAGTAGCAAGACTATCAAATAGTAAACATAAACAACTAACCATAAATTCTAGGTTCACAAATTTGTAATACTATTCAATTGACACATTGAAATTTGCAACAATTGATGTTGTATCTCTCGACCAAGCAGAGAAGAAAATCTCAATTAAAAACATCATAACAGCAAACATAGGCTATAGACAATCCACATCAGTAGAGGGATGCAGATCTCGTAGAAGACAACCAATCAAGGAGTTGTAACTGACTCTCACTCTCACATTATAAAACTCGTTTTTCCAGTAAAAGAAATACAAGTACATTGCATGCATCAAATAGTGAAAGTGCCACAAACACAAACTTTTAAATCTTTAACTTAAGAATAAAAATGTAGGGAAATCAAATAAGTACCCTCAGACGATCAGAGAGAATAGAAGGAGTGATTAGCTTGTATTTGGGTGCCTCAGAGAGAAGCTTGTCATAGGTACCCTGATCAAACAGTACCATGTTATTCACCTTTTCCTTTTGCTTTCCCTTGCTCCACTTCTGTTACGACAACAATCGAACATCAATACCACACTCCCATCCATCACACAAACCTAAAATTTACAAACGAGGATGAATTGGAACACAAAATTAGAACTTGGACAAGAAACAAGAACCTTCTTCTTCTGCTTGCCACCGCCAGACTTGGCGGGCTTCGATGAAGGTGGGGGGGCCTTGTCCTTCTTTGGAGCCTGTAAGTACCATCAAACCAGAAACACAGAAATTAGATTGAAAGGGAAAAAAAAAACAGAATTGATGAATATAGCAGATAAACTTGCCATGAATTCTAATCACAGACGGCAGGAGCTCTCAGATTAAGGACGACAGCAAAATGAGGCAATCTCAATTACAAACCTAACTAGGGTTTTTGTTGTTGCAGTGTGAGAGATAAAAAGACCTACATTAACTCTCATCTGGGCTACCTGATAATGGGCTTTTGTGCCCATTGAACTTTTTATTAAAAGTATTGTTTACGCTCCTAAAATTAATAAGGAGACCCTCTCCCCCTCTCCTCTTGATATATAAAAGGACCATATAAAAAACAACCTACAAAATAACTCTAATATATTAATATAATAATGGTAAGAGGATAAGATGAAAATAAAAATAATTTAAATTATTATTATAATATTAAAATAGATTATAGATTGAACCTTTCGATTTTTTTAACTTCTCTTCAATTTTTTAGAATTAGAAATTAAGTTTTTATCTCTATTTTTATTCAATTTTAAATTTTTTATTTATTATTCAACCAAATTTTATATTATTTTTAAAATAATAATTAATTTTATGATAAATTAATTTTAATATTTTATATCATTTTTATAAAAATAAATATTTATAATTTTGATAATTTTTAATTATTATTAATTAATATATATTTTATTTTATTATATTCATATTAAAATATATATATATATATATATAATTAAAATTTGTTTATACAAATATAAAATACTTATGATATTATTATTATTATATATTATATATTATACATTATAGTCATATATTTAATTTTATATATATATATATATATATATTTAATTATATTTTAAATTTTAAAATATAATTATTTTATTAAGATAAAATTTGATATATAATAAATATGAATAATAAAATAAAAATATGATAAAATATAATATAATAAATATAAATTAAAAATAAAATAAGATTAATTATTAATCTACAATATTAAAAAAATAAAGAAAAAAATAATTAACTTTTTATTATTAAATTGGTTGAAAAGATTAAAAAAATAAAATTGATAGAAAATATAAAAAAAATTGTAAAGAAGCAAAAGATAATAGAAAAAAATATATATATGGAATTTATTGATAAAATTAAAAAGGACAAAAAAATAAAAAATAGATAAAAAAAATAAAAGGATAAAATATAAAAAAAATCTTATATATAATATAAAAATATTAAAATTTTAGTATTTAAATTTAAATATAAAAATAGGTAAAGACAAGATCCTGATGAAAAATTAAATTATTTATCTTCGTCCAATTTTTTAAAACGAAAAAACTTTAACCATTTCGATTTGTCTATTCAATTTTTTTTCCCGTGAAACTTAAGGTAAATAATGTTAATTAAAATAATGTTAATTTTAAGACAAAAATAATGTTAATTAGTCAATTAACATTGCAGAAAAAATGTCTAATATCTATATTATGTAGGATTTTTTTCTTTAATATTAATATGATGTCTAATATCTATATTAAAATATTAGTTGAACTGTAATGTGATTTATTAAAAAAAATAAAACATTTTTGTTAAATTTTTATATAAAAAATTAAAACTTTATGTAAATTATTCAACCCTCTCCTTACCAGACATACTATTCATGATTTCAATGTGGGACAATAATTGGAAGAAGCTGAGGACAGTATATTTTTTCAGTGAACCATTCAATCAACAGAAGGGTACTAATTCTTCTTGGATTATTGTGGAACAATATTCATAACAAAACTCAAAAAAACATAATAAAAAGAAAGAAAAAACAGAAAATAATTGAAATAGTAATGTCTCATTAGTTTTGTATTATGTCCCTATTAGTACAAGTTTTCCAGGGATTTATTTGTTAGCAATTATCTTATCTTGCTTTGTGACACAAATCAAGTTTAAATTGGAGGAAAAAGGTCAAAATCAGACTAAAGCTGATACACAATGAAATCAAAATGTGAATGAAATCTTGACGTGAATAATTAATGTTGATGTAATTGGCCTACCAAGATGTTTCATTGGAACCCAAAAGTTACATCTTAGTCCTTGATTATTGGGGGGTCCATTTGAGAAGAAACAGAAGTGAGTGAAGGCTTTTTGAGTTCTTAGCAAATAAAGGCAAAGCAAAAGTTTTTGCCTTTTTCTTAAGGACTAAGAAATGGGTCGTTAATTAATCAGGGTTTTGCTTTCTTTGTTAAATCCATCTGTCATTGTCTCCAATCATGTACTGCCACCTTAATATCACTACTTTTATCATCCAATTTAATTACCACATATTTGTTTGCTAAGCACTAGTGTTTTAAGTTGGATGATAGTGTCTTTAGATTATTAGTTTATAGCAAGTAAATGTCTTTATCCATCTATCTATTTGTTTTATTTACGTGGAATCTTTGTTGTCCAATTCTTATTTAATGTTTTGAACTTAATTAATCAATAAACATGGATCAATTTTCATTGTATTATTTCCAACAAAATATATGACAGGTTGTGTTGGATCATATATTTTTTAAATTTTCAGAAGTGCATCTTGATTCTAAAGCCAAATACACAACAGTGACACTGTATTTTCTGGTAAAACCTTCTTAAGGGACCTTTACAGAACCAAATTTCAATGCTTTAATTAAATGCACGCATACTTTCTTCAAAGAAGAGAAGAACATAGAAAGGATCAAAATCTTGTCTTTTGGACTAAACTCCAAATTTTCTTGGCTTAACCAATGAATAGTTAGCAGTTAGTATATATGCCACTGGTCTAGCTTAATGCACAGAGAAAAAGTAGAAGAAAGAAAAAACAAGATAAAGGTGAAAGCAATAATAACATATTCGGTCTATTTTCTTTTATTTTATTGAACAACTTTTTCCTTTTCTTTTCTTTTAATTTTTATTTTTGTACCCACTTTAGATTGGATGGATGGATTCTATAAATGAGAGTAGTGCACTCAATTCAGAAAAGAAACAAAGAGAACCCAAACAAGAATAAGCACCAGTTCTGAGTTCTCACAGATTTCCAAAGCAGATGCAACACACCAAACTCACTACAAAATTCACTTCCTTCACTCTGCTTCCATGCTTCCAATCCTAGACACCGTAACTTTCTCCATCATCATCAGGTCTCAGATGCATGCTCCTGACATATTCTCGGTCCCTTTCGTGCGAGTGAGACCCATCTAATCCAACCAAACCAAAAACAATCTTTTGATAAACCAAATGGACTCCTCCACCAACAATTTCCATAAGCTCCAAACCAAGAAAACCGCGAAACCTCGGAAACATCATCGTTACCTCCGAATGATCGCGAACGTGTTGCGGTACGTTGAGGTGTGCGTTGTTCTGGTCCTGGTTTCGAGGCTCTCCATCAACCTACCATCCACTCTCAAAAACTCAAGCGAGTATTTCCGCAACTTCATGGGTAGTCCCCGCTTTGTGTTTTTCCTCGGAAACGTCATCATCATAACGTTGTTCGCACAATCGGGTCATTTTTCAAATCACGCTTCGGAAAAACCATCCCCAGAACCCGATCTCTATCTCGAGTTTCTCCAAAATAGCACCATCAAACAAAAACTAATAGCCCACAACAACAATCGTAAGGCGAAGGCGAGTGTGAGAGTGGAGGATGGTGCAAAGGGTCAAAAAACTCATCCCACCAAAACCGAGACCAGTTTGGAGGTGGTGAAGAAGGATTATCGAAGGTGTCAATCGGATATCGTAACGCTTGAGGTGGAGAATGAGAAACCTACGCGCTTGTTGCAGAGGTGCGAAACTGAGAAAGTGGGTAAGAACGTTAATTCGTACCCTGAAGATGGGATGAGCAACGACGAGTTTCGTCGCAAGGTTGAGGCTTTCATTGCTCGCCAACAGATGCTACGAACCCAAGAATAAAATTGTTAATTCATAGTAGGAGGAGTATTTTCTTGAAAAAAAGTTTGTATATTGCTTCTGGTATTGGGTGAAAAGTGAAAACTATACATGCAGTGTTATTTAATAAACAAACAAAATATGTGATCCATGGATAACATGTAAGTAGATGTTAAACATAAGTGAGTAAATTATTGTATTCATCTTAAAATAAATTGTATCTATTTAACCAAACAAAATATGTGATCCATGGATAACATGTAAGTAGATGTTAAACAAAATATGCTGCTTCAAATCTTTTGGGTTTGTTTTTTTAACCAAACAGCGTGAATCTTTATTTTATTTTATGCTTCGGGTCTAAAATTTTTAATTTTACCAAAATTGATTAAATGGTGTGGGATGCGACTAGTTGTTACGATTTATATATATATATATATATATATATATATATATATATATATATATATATATATATATATATATTAAATATATTTGTAGCACGAACTTCAAATAATTTATATTCAATTTTATGTTTTTTTAAATAATATTTTTTATTTTTAAATATATTATTTATTAAATAAAAATAGTAATAATAATATTAATATACAAAAATAAAAAAGCAGAAAAAAATAATATTAACAAAACAAATATTAATAATAATATTAACAATATTAATAATAATAATATTAACATAATGTAAAATACAGGACGTGATCAATAATAATAATAATATGAAAAAAATTGAAAAACACAAAAAAAATTAGTACTAATAAAATGAATATTAATAACAATATTAATAATAACAAAGAAAATAATAATAATAATAATAATATATTTAAAGTAATAATATGATCTAATATATATATATATATATATATATATATATATATATATATTTAAAACTCATTTTACATCTCTATAAAAAGAATGTTATGCAGCTAAGGAAAATTCCCAAATTCTAAGCAGAAAATGACATATTGTTGCTTTGGACAGAGAGAGATGAAGGCATTTTAAGTGTTGAGAAAGAAGAGATTTTTATATTTTGTTGATCAAGTATTGAAGAGATGGTGATTGGTAATGGGTGAATGCGAATCCTATTACATACAGAAGGGAAAAATTAGGGTACCTAACTTGAAAACATTCATTGGTGTTAGTGAGAACTGAAAAAGCATGTCCATGATTGTCACAATACTAAGTAAGAGAGAAGTTGTGTAACTGCCACGAACCCAACGTGCCACCATATATTGTCTGCCACTGCCTATAGATTTTTTTATTTTGTCTTTTGCTTTAATTATTCAAATAACAAGTGTGGGAAGTAGGAGCCACGTCATTTATGCTTTGTTTTTGGTCTTCCTTTCCTTAAATATCACTTCCCAGTCCTCCATTATGGCTGGTTTATTGGCTGAAACTCATTCTTCAAAAATCAATGTTTTTTTGCCTCAAATCATTTTGATAACACCTTTTTTGAGGAACTAGAGTGTATTCTAGACACTATAAAGGAAAAGCATTGAATAAAGCAACAATAAATTGTCTTGTTAGGCCTGTGATTACTTCATTTCATGCCACCATATATTGGATCTGGCAACAAATTTGCTCCAACTGTGGCATGTCAACAAGTTTTTAATGTTATGATTCTAGAAGAATGACATGACTGGGTTGATCCATTTCTTACACATTTTATATCATCAGAACCCTAGTAATGTCATTTAAAGATCCATGTGGTGCCTGCATTTGTTGATCTCTGTTATCTTTCACAGTAAGGAACTGACTCTTACTCTGCTAGTTTTGAATGAACCAAAATCCATCGTGATGCTTTTCAATTAAAATGAACAACATCATCGGTGTATATTTTCATTCCCTTTTTATATAAAATATACATGAAGTAATATTCACTATTGAGAAAAACAAAAAGTAAAGTTATACAATAAGGAAAAAACTTCAGTAAATAAAGTAGAAAATTGAATGCAATTTTGTATCAGGGATTTTTTATATATAGTAAAACGTGGTTTGTATATATAGAGTTAATATTTTTAAACATTTTATTTTATTATGACATAAAGGGAAGAAGAAACGATGTTTTGCCCACAATATAACAAAACTAGTTTATTTATCAAACAAAATACATTCCAACAACTAAATTCACTGTATGAAAATAGAATAGGGGAATTGTTATTTTTTTATTATCTTTTATTTAAATTAGATATTTATATTATTTTTTAAGAGAAAATTAAAATATATTAGATTATTATTTTGATTTAAGCTTATTGATATATTATTAATATTTTATATTTTTACTTTATGTACATAAATACAATATATAAATAAAATATATATTCATATATATATATATATATATATATATTATATATCAAAAATACACGTACACAAAATTTTAAAAATTCTCAAGTAGTAAATGGAAAAAGAATGAAGTTATTACACATCTTATTCTAATTTTGATAGGCGAAAATTATGACTTATGGACTGTAAAAATGTAATTTTTGAAAGATTTGATTTATGAAAAAATGTGAAAAAAAAAAATTCATTACATCAACGTTAATGTATAGGTTGGATTATAAACAGTAGTTGTACAAATCACTTGATTTATAATCAAAATTTTTTTAAAAGAAATATTTTGATGAAGAAAGAAAGGTGAATAAAGATATAATCTTATAAAAAAAAGATGATAAGAAATACAAAAAAAATATTCTAAACAAAATAAAAGGATGAATATCAAATTAAAATAAACATATATTAAAATAAGGAGAAATATTAAAAATATTATTTTATTATTTTTTATTTTAATTAGACATCAAGATATTTTTATTATTTTTAAAAAAATAATAAGTTTTTATTTTAATTTTAAAAATTGAGATATTATTAATATTTGATATTTTATCATATTTTGATATTATTAATATTAAATATTTTATAATATTTTTATTTTATATACATAGAGTAGATAGAAAAATATATTTTATATATTATAAATACATATCCAAAACTCTAAATATTTCATAGAAATAATACAAAACATATTCAATCCAATAATATTATGAAATATCCAGATTAACGTAGGAATTTTAATTTTAAAAAACTCGTAGTAAATACATAAAAATTGCTCAATCTTAATATGCGTAAATTTATTACTTGAATGAGGTCAAGAAGGGAACTGATTAAAAAAAACAATTATATAAGAACTTGAAAATATTTCAATATAGAATAATAATTATAAAAATTGGAAGTATAAAACAATTAAACATTTTTTGTAAAATAATATAAAGAAAAAAAGTTTGTATTATATGCTTGATAAACGAGATACAAGGTGAAAGTAAAGTAAACACAGGTGAATAACACTAAGCTTAAATTGGATTACATGAGTAACAGCAAAGCAAGAAAAACTTGGAATATATAATTGAGGCAGAGCCTATGGTATAAGAACATGGACAGTGAATAAACGCATCACTCTCATTAAGCATCATATCTTATTCCGCACACACACACAACACCTTCACTAGATATGCTTTAACACATATTACTGCCATATTAAGTATTAATTTGTATCACTTTTTTGTTATGAACATGACCAGATAAGTATACTCTAATTTACCTTCCTCCAACAGTTTCGCAACCTTCTTGCTGAATCTAAGGAATAATTCATCAATTATACCTTCTCCAAACCGTGCCGTCAGAAAAGGTTCAGTAGTAGCTCTCACGTATTTGGCTATGAAATTGGCTCTGACATTTGTATCTATAACGAAGTCACCATTACCATTTTCTTTCAAGCCCTCATCCCAACTCGACTTGAATGTCTCCAACTTTTGAAGAGTAAAAGACCCTTCTGCATCAATCAATTGTTTAACTTCATTAGCAGTAGGACCATATCTTGGCATATTAACGTACACCAACTTTTCCTCTCCAATCAAACCCTGCATTGCATAATATGTCAATAGTACATAAAGTTATAATTCCTTGAGAACTATAAAAAACAAAAAAAATCAATAAATAAGACAGTACTTTATTCAATGTTCACTAGTATATATATGTACCTCCAAAACCATGTCATTGAGAACCAAACCAATTAACCCCCAAGGAGTGATTATGTCAGAAGTTTCATCTCTACCAACAAATGTTAGAACCATACCACCACCACGCACTAATTCCTGCGCACGTGATTTTATAAACAGATTGAAATCTTCACTAAACTGAGCAAGGTAAGCTTGGTACACCGTACATGGGCTCGTGTTTGTGATGTAAATGTTTTCCTTGTTAATCAATCCTGTACCCTTAGCCAACCCTTTTGGAGCCTGTTGCGAAATTAAACATTGTAAACACAAATATTGAATTAATGCTGTGTATGTGAATTGTTTCTTCATGTTTATAATTGAAGATAACCTGAGAGAGCCAATGTAGACTGGTGGAAGAATGAAAAAAGTGCATGGAATTGTTGGGGAAGAGTCTCCCATAAAAGCTTCCGGGCGTTGCATTAACGAAACATGCACCAAATCTCTCTCCCTTCTCTTGTCGTAGCCTTTCATAGAAGCAAGGTAGGGACTGAAAGATGTTGTTGAAATCGTTTTGAAATTGATCGTTCAGGTAAATTTGAAATGTGCTGGGTGGCTCTCGGTTAAAGCTGCGACTTATGTCATGAACAACATCAATAATGTCATACGCCACCTGAAGTGCATTTGGTCCCGAAGAGCAACCTAAATCACCCACTTTGAAACAGCTTGGGACAGAGTCGCTATACAGAGACCTCATACTTTCTTCGAGTATGGGTTTCACTTTTGATATCATCTTACTCTGCACGAAATTAATAAAATTAAAAGCAACATAATATACAAGGAAAAGAATCGTACGTGTAAACAGTATACGAGGATAGTGTTGTGTTGTGGAAAATAAAATATGTAGTTAAATAGTATGTATGGTGATAGGGAAAGAGAAAATGGTACTTGAAAGGAGGAATTGTTTGCGTAGCTAGCTTCTCCAGCACCACCATTAGCGAAAATAAATTGAAGTGATTCCATAGGTATGCAATGCAAAGGTGAAGAAGAAAGCGTGATTTGGTGTGAGACAGTGAATAACTTCGTTCCTGGATCGCCTTTTAAAGATGCAGGAGGGTAACAAATTTCAATTTAAGTGGGCTTTCGATCCAACATTACAGTCCAAAAATGATTACGTCACCACGTACGTAAGAAAAAATGTCCACATGCGATAGACCAACCTTCTCTGAAAAGTTGAACTCATCAAACACTGAGAGAGAACATTAGTTTTTTATATTTTAAAAGATTTATTTTGCTTTTTAAAGTTTAGTTAATGCTATACAGTGACGCTCTCACAGGTCTTCAGATCATTTCCATATAATTTATGATTTTGGTTCCTCAAAACTTAATGAAAATTTAATATATTTATTTGTATATTTACAATTTTATCCTCTTAATTTCTTCTTAATTTTATAACTCTCATATAATTTATTATTTGATCTTTCTCATATTTAATGATTATTTAATATATTTAAGTATATATCTACAATTTTATCCTTTCACATTTTTATCTTCTTTATTCTTTTCATATTTATTTATTATTTATTAATAATATATTATTTGACCTCCTCAAGATCAATGGTCAAGATCCGTCACTCATGCTATACTATCTGAGTTCCAGCTTATTTTGAATTTTAATATTTGCAATTTGTTGTAGAATAATTAATGAAGTTTTGAAATTTAATTTATTTTGTTTCTTTTGCTTTTGGATGATTTCAGTTTTGAGGTGGAGGAAGAAGGAGATGGAAGGGAGAGAGAGGGGAACATGTTACAGAGGAAGAAAGAGGTCATTTGAGAAAGAGAAGAAAAAAGAGAAAAAAAATATAAATATAGATTAATTAGTAACCATTGATTAATCTAAAATTGTAGAGATTTAATGGTAGAAAAAAATATTTTTATGGTGGGAAACATAAAGTCTCGTCCTATACTTCGAACATATCAATAGAATAAAAGGATTCGAATAAATTTATATGATGTTTGGATGAAAAAGTTTTAAAGGATAATTATTTTTACATATAATTTTAAGTGCTTTATAACGAAATGGGTTGTCCGAATAGATAATTTTATAGAAATTAAAATTTTAAAAATATATGAAAGTATCTTAGTTACTTAATGTTATATAATTTCAAATTAATTTTTTTAATATTTCTTTTTCTTTTCTTCTTATTGAAATTTTATCTTTTAAATATATATTTAATTTTTATACAGTAAAACACATATTATTCTTTTCAAACTAAGAATTCAAAATGAAAAAGGTTTGAGTTGATTTAACTAGACAAAAGTATTTTAAAATATTAGAAATTTAAATCATAGAATTCAGAAAACATTTCAAAAATTTTGAATTGCTTATTGTCCAAACACAATAGTAAACTTCTTAAAAATAAACTATGGAAATATAGTTTTATTTAAATTTTTTTTATTAAAATTATAAAATGTATATAGGGTGTATTTATTTTCTGCATCTTAAATGTGTCACTTTTTTTCTTCTTTTATTTAATTTTTCATTCTAGTCCCCAGTTTTTTTTATTCTTAAAAAAAAAATTATAATCCCTCTACACTACTACTGTGATCACGTGACAATTTTGATATGACACCAGTGTGGAATGTCGCGGACATAACATATACTTATACCATCAGAATGTTATTTTTAACGACATTAAATTAAAAAAAAAAACTAAAATAAAAAGTCTGAAACTTAGATTGATGATTTTAGAAAATAAAAAATACAGGAACAAAGAAAATATCCAGTAACAGATCGCTGACAATTATATTTGAGTGGAGTGGAGCGTATACATTGGAAAGGAAGAAAATTGAAGTTCATCTAAATCACCTTGGAGCCATAACATGTGAATCTAAAGGATTCCCACAAACAACGTGTATGATCTGAAGTATGTGTCTACGAGATTATCTTTAATAGTACAAACAACTTTTAACATAATATTCCTACCGTTGTGCCTGAAACAAACGAGAACTCAAAGGATCACATCCAAGAACAGCAAACAAAACGCCAGATGCGAAAATATAGTGACTGCTGTCCATTACAAAAATAGTGCATATATATATATATATATATATATATATATATATATATATATAGTCATAAAATGCTCCGAAAGCAACAACATTACACAGAACAAAATATCGGTGTATTGAAATAGGCGTCAATTTTTCTTTTATGTTTGGTAGCTATTCAAATTATGAAAAGCCAATTCTAATTGTATCAGTTAAAAAAAAAAATCCAAATCAAAATTTTGAAACTACTGCGTAATAATTTAAACCGAAATTTCTATTTTCTTTTCCTACTTCCTTTTAATTTAAAGACTCTGATAGTACTGGACGAATGACACTGAACTCTGATACAGATCATGGAAGGGAATTACTTTTTGCACTATCCTTCTATGCAAGTTGAATCATCCTTTTTAACACGACTTTTAGAAATTTAGTTCCGGAAGAGTGTATATGGGTGATGCAAAATAGTACTAAGATTTTAAATCAATTCAAATTCATACAGATTTCCAAAAGTAGTTATAAAAAATAAACAGTTCTGAACCTGTAATTTAGCTTGCCACCAAGGTGTTGATATTAAAAGAGCTATCTTGCACAGCACCTCTGCATCATGATACCATGGTTCTACTACTGCTCATAGACCAAAGAAAGCACCAAACCACGTTCTATTGAAATCCTTTTATAATTAATAATGGTAACAGAATCCAGTAGAGTTCTATATAAAACCCAGAACCACATACTTGCCTCAATACAAAAAGCAGAAACAACCTGAAACTGAGAATCCCCATATTTTAGACAGCCAGCTTCATATCAATCTTCTGGTGAGGATCATAGCCTACGAGCTTAAAATCAGCAGCCACAAAAGAATCTATATCTTTCTTCTCTGGATTTATCTTCAAAATCTGCTTCGAAGTACATTAAGGGAGTCAACAAGGAAAAGAGTCAAAAGACAAATTAAAAGAAGTGCTAAACAACAGACATACTGGAAACGGTTTTGGCAGGTTATGGAGTTGCTCCTGCAAAGGCCTCACGTGATTGCGGTAAACATGTGTATCCCCAATAACATGGATAAAATCACCTGGAATGAGATCTGAGAAAAAGCCGTAGTATAAGGGTTAGTTATTTTACATAAAATTACTTTTAAGCTGCATTTTTTCTCTAGTGATATTATCAAAACCAATAAGCTTCCTCAAAACCCTGACTGAACCTACCTACATCTAAACTTTATTTAAAAATTTATTGAGAAACTTCTGAAAACAACTCTAGAAAAATAGCCATAAAATTAATTAAGTGCAGAAAGAATACTAACAAAAAAAATAGGTTTGCCGTTTATTATGCAAAACTTTCTCAGCTACTAAAATGGAACATATAGAACTGAATCAAAGTCCACACACAACTAAATTCCAAAAAGATTATATATAAAAGACTTACCAAGTCTAAAAAAGCTAAACTTACGAGGGCCTATTCTAGCAATAAAAGAAAATCAGGCTTTGTTAAAGATTAGTACATGAACAAGTCTGACTATTATCTACTGGCCCGCATACGACCTATTAATTATCTTAAAGTCAAACAACCATATAAAATGGGATACATCATATCTAATTACACCCACAAAACCTTAACATTTTTATCAATTGACTGCATATTTAGGTCTATAGTGAATGCTTTTATAATTTACATACCACAGACATGAGCAATCATGCATGTCAGGAGGGCATAAGATGCAATATTAAATGGAACGCCCAGGCCCATGTCAGCAGATCGCTGATACATTTGACATGATAGCTCACCATGTGCTACATAAAACTGCAAAAGTTAAAACTAAAAATATCAATATATGTGGAGGGGGGGGAGTTTTCAAAGAAAAACCAGATGAATTAAGCTGCAGACCTGTGCAAACATGTGGCATGGGGGAAGTGCCATTAATTTAAGATCAGCTGGGTTCCATGCAGAGAGAATGATTCGCCGATCATCAGGATTATGCTTTATCTTGTTAATAACGTCTAAAAGCTGATCAAACCCTTGGCCGGAGTAGTCATCATGCATGTCAATATATCTATAAAACGTAAGAGAGCTAATAAATGTTTGAGCAGTTCTACATAAAATAATCTATTGTAATACGTACAGAAAAAAGATGTAATTCCCTTACCTCGCACCAAAGTGCCTCCATTGAAATCCATAAACAGGTCCCAAGTCACCCTCCTCCCTCTCTGCCAAACCAACACTGTAATAAAACATGTAAAGCCAATTACTAACTGCAATATAAAAAAATGCACAATGTGTACTTCACAGTTAAAACGTATAGTCATGCTTGCCCATCGAGATATTCTCTGGATGCATTGCCATCCCAGATATGAATGCCTTTTTCTTGTAGTACCTGTCAATATACCTTGTTTTCAGAACGAAGATCATATAATAAAATCTAGTATACCAGTAAAAGATTTCTTGTTAACTATAATATAAACTGCCTAATGCAAGTGAAATGCTGAGTAAAAGTTTAGTTCATAACCCTTTATTTCGAAGACACTACTAAAATGCTTAGCAAGTGCAAACTGTGTTATCATCAAACTATCTTATATTCAAAAATCGACAGCATCACAAAACATTAATTTTTCACTCTGGAATAGAAAGCCAACTTCATGAAGGTCCTTAATAACCACCAGGTCCTAATGCAAAAAACTTGTGTAGATAAGCAGAGCCAGACGATAAATGCTTCAAACAAGGACATTTTAAAGCCAGCAGAATACAAGCTCACCGCTGCTGAACTATGGCTTTTGACTATTCATAAAAGTACGGGGCGAAAATTCAATAATCTACTTGGCCATGGGAAACATTTACCACATTTTTTTACATATCTTAACATGCCTGTCTTTAAGTACTATTAAGGTAATGACGATAAAAGATATATTTATGAAATTCTGTATGGATTAAATCTTAGATTAATTATAGATTAGTAGAAATAATTAAATATTACCTTTTATAATTATTGACGATTTGAGAAATGATATTATCATATATTATCAATGTATACAAATATTTGAATGTGATTGGATTGTGATCAAATTGGCCTGGTGTGGGTTGGACCACTCTAATAATAAATAGTACATTGAGGGGAACCTGCCTAGTCTGGGAGATTATAAGCTTGTCATCTCATTAAGAAAATTAACACACATAATTCCCTATAAGGTGGGTAGAGAACTCTCAAAGAGAAACAAAGGTTTGGAACTGCTATAGGAGATAAATGTTAATTCAGGTATGTATTCATCACAAATTACTAGGGATGGCAATTAAACCCATACCCGTGGGGACCGACCCGCCCCCGCCCCGAGTTTGACGGGGAAAACCCAAGTTGACCGGGGACGGGGGCGGGTTCGGGTTTTCCCCGCTTCAAAAAGTCGGGGGCGGGGATGGGTAATGCAATCCCCATCCCAACCCCGTCCAGTCCCGCCCGACTATATATTTAAATTTAAAATTTAAAATATCAATACTTTTAAACGTATTTTCTTTTCTTTTTCTATTACATATAAAGTTATTTTTTTAATATTTCACCAGTTTTTATTTTTCTTCTACCCATTTTTAATTTTTTTATCTTTTTTAATCTTTTATATCAATTAATTTATTACATTATTCTCTCTCTTACCTTTCTGTTTTTTACATTTCCTTAATTTCTCCCATCAATTTATTTATTTTTATAATCTTTTCAATCAATTTGATGAATACAAAGTAAATTTTTTTCTTTATCTTTTTCTAAATATTTTACATAAATCCTAGTAGTAATTAATATTATTTTATTTCTAATTTATATTTATTAGGTTTTATTATGTCATTTTTTTTATCTTATTATTCTTATTTATCATATATTAAATTTTATCTTAATAAAATAATTATATTTTAAAGAATTAAAAGAAATAGATAATTTAAACTTTTATTACTTTGAACTAATTAAATAAGAATTAACTTATTAAATATTTTCTTATAAACTATATATTTCATATTTTTAAATGACAACTTAAAAATGAATTAACTTATATATATAATTAAATGTTTGAATAGAGTGTTATAATAATAATGTTATAAATATTCTCTCTATATATAAATAAAAAATAATTAAATATTTTTTTACATACATATTTTAATATAAATATAATAAATTAAAAAATATATTTAATTAATAATAATTATAAATTATAAAATTATAAATATTTATTTTTATATAAAAAATACACAATAAAATTAATTTATTATAAATGTAATTATCTTTTTAAAAATAATATAGATCGGGGACGGGTCGGGAGCAGTGGAACCCGAAACCCAGGTGGGGACGGGGATGGGGACTTAATTTTTAACCCTGGCGGGATCGGGGTGGGGTCGGGGATGGTTAAAAAGTCGGGGCGGGGATCGGGAGGCAAAACCCGCCCCGCCCCGCCCCGTTGCCATGCCTACAAATTACTCTCTAATTGCATTGTTTTGACATGCTATACTCTGGATCTACGAATATTGTTTTCACAATTCCAACATTAAAAAGAATGCAATCATATTTATAAGTTTAATATATTATAGAAATAAATAATACAATGAATGAGTTAATTTAGAAGCACCTGAGCTTTCCACATTTTTACATCTATTCAAATCAAAGCTCAAATGTTATAAAATACACATGTTCCCGAAAAGTTGGCTCATGTCAGCTTGTTTGTGAGCAAACTAAGAACCGGTGAGGTTTAATGTGTGTACGGAAAAGATTGGCAGAAGATATTATTACCTTGGCATTTGTTGAGCCACTGATGAACCAAAGAAGCTCTTCAACAACCCCTCGCCAAAATACTTTCTACAATCAATCGAAGAAACTAAGTCAAATATTCTATCAAAAAAACACATGTGGTGCTTCTACATTAACTCATTTGACGTAGTATACACAATATAATTATCAAACCTAAGGAAAAAGAACAGGTTATTTTACACAGTAGATAAAATACATCTTAAACCATAATCTCTACCACATGCCTTAGTTGTTAGAAGAGGAAAGCTTCTGCGCAGATTGAACCTCATCTGTGGAAATACAGAGACAATGTTAGCATATAAACAAAAACAACCCTCAACATACCAATCAAAACGTTACCTGGCTACCAAATTTTGACAAGGTACCAGTCCCTGTCCTATCATCCTTAGTTGTACCTTCAGAAATGATGTCTTGAACCAGCTTAAGATACATATTCTCCTCATGTCTCTCAAAAATCATTTTAGGAAGAAAAGAAAAATCCTTCACCTCAAATTTTATGGAATCAGAATTACTATTAAAAAATGGATCAGTATTCTGACTCGGGGACTCCACTTTAGAACTCCTTACACGCACATAAGTGGTGAAAGAATAGCGGATGTTGTTTTCCACTTTAGGGAAGGATGAGTACCATGGCTGGAATATAGTGACATCAACTGAAGGCATAAAAGTGTCACACTCAATGTTTGACTGAATTTCTGTTAAGTGGATAGCTTCACATTTAGGTGCATTGAGAGCCTCTCTGTACATGAAAATTATAAGCTATAACACACAGCTTGACATGAAAAGGAAAGAGCAAATGAAGAAAGATATATTTTAAAACTAAGAAGTACCTAAATATCTGACCACCTCCAATAACAAATACTTTCTCAATTGAAAGTGAGTAAGGAGAAGCAGATAATAGTTCCAATGCAGAAGACATACTTCCACATATAACAACATTCTCCGCAGTTGCAATATCAAAGCTGCCTGAGCGTGTAAGAACAACATTAAGGCGACCAGAAAGAGGCCTGTACTGAAGAGGGATACTCTCCCATGTTTTCCTTCCCATTACAATGGCATTCTTCTTCCCAGGATCAGATGTTTTCACTGTGATCTCCTTGAAAAATTTGAGATCAGTAGGCAATCTCCAGGGTAACTTCCCATTCTTACCAATGCCCCAATCTTGAGTAGCAGCCACTACCACTTGGTAAGTTCTTTGCAGATTAGGTAGTGGTTTTACGTTGCCATTGCTCTCTCCATTGGAGATAACAGAAGAACCACTGGCCGTTATGGAACTCATAAGCCGACAGAAACTTAAAGATGGTGTCTGAAAACAAGAACTGCACAACCAATTCTTTTGGAGGTGCAGCTGAATCTGAAACCCCAAAAAGGTAATAGACCATAATTAAGAAAGGTAACAACAAATGAACCCAGTCATGCACAAAGAAACACTTTAAGTTGAAAGGGATACAGTATGCAGTTAGAAAAGAGAATAAAACGAACATGGAGTTATGCAACTAAGACCTAAGTTGCTTCAGAGCTGATCACTAGAGAGAGGAGTGGGGGCATACCCCCGTATTTTGGCAAGAATTGCTGCAGCTAATGCGTTAAGAAATCTAAGCAAGTCTAGTCACATAATAGGGCAAAACAGTTTTGCCTTCAAAACAATATGAGAATGCTCTCCAAGACTCAGCAATAGAATTTGAAACAACCAAACCAGTAATAACATAATTTCCCATAATCTGTTAACCCGCCATAGCAAAATCAAACATGCACTGTTAAAAATAACCGCACAAGAGGCATAAAAGAAGTTCAACCATCTTCTACGCTGTCAAAAACCACTGAGAAAAGTGGTGAACTTACGGAACAAAAACAAAATAACCATCTAACCGATATGAACTAAAATGACAACACATGCAACATAATGTTCACAAAATGAAAGAGCAAAGAGCTAAAAACATAAAAGACGAAGAAGAACTGACCGATGTGAAGGCGAAGCGCGAAATATTGGAAGGATTATGACCTAAAAGGTAAAAGTTGGTGCAAAAGTCCACGAAATTTTTGAAGTCAGGAGCAATGTGAAAATCCAAACAGAAAGAATAAGAAGTTCATAACATTATAAAATGGAGATTCGAAGGGGGAAGAAAAAGGTGAGCAATGGAAGCAACCAACAGCAGACAGTGTGAAACGAGGGCGAAGCGAAAAACCGTTTTCTGAACAGTGGATTATTCGGAAAAATCTGTCAAAAACGGGCTACCCGGTCCATTTGATTCGATACATTTTGTGTTTACTCGCTTTCTAAACATATTAACCCGACCCGTTAGTTGGAAATAAAATTGATTCGACCCGGTGCGTTAAACGGTCCACTTAAATTAAAAAACAAAATTAATCCCAAAAAGAAGCATAAAAGGTGGCGCGCGGTGTTGCACGTCGCGGAGGCCGTACCGCGACCTGATTCCTTATTGCGGCGGAGGTGGCACATAGCTGTCAGGTTTGGGCTGGGCCTAAGCCTGGTTGCTGAGAGAGACATGAGAGTGTGCAAAGTAAAAGCTTGTTTTGGATTAATTTAGTGAGTTGGTGGGCGGAAAAGTGGGCCGGGTAATTAAAATGGATCTTTGTAAATATTATTTAACCATTTTTTTTTTTAACATTGCACTTACAAATGAATTTTTGTAAAATCACACAATTGTTTAAAAAGATATTATAATGTATTCCTTATAAAAGATATTGCCATAAATGCTAAAAAAAAAATGAAATTTTCATGAAATTTCACTAATGTTCAATATAATTAATTCAAAATAAAAATACGAATTAAATATATTTTTGTCCATATAATTTAATATATTGTTTATTGTTAGTTTCTATAATCCTTTGAGCCTCTAAACGTTTTATTTTTTGTTATTTTACTATCTAAGTTCATTACAAAAGTGTTAAGCATAGCATCATCGCGTTTCACATATATAAACTATATAATCGTTAATGTTTTCTTAATATAGAGAATAAGATATATTCATCTCTGCAATCATTTACTTTATATTTTTATCATTTATTAAACTTTATTATAATTAATCATTCCAAATATAACATATATAGTTTTAAATTGTATTTTTTTTAGTTTAAAAACAAAACTAAAGAGATTTAGTTATTAATTACAAATATTAAATCCAATAATAATTAACATTCAATCTAAAGAAAAATCATTACATAATCAAATTTTTAAATTATTTTCACGTGATAAATAATTATATCTTTTATTTACGTGAAGAAATAAATAATGTGTCAGTAAAAATTGATTGGGATCACATGATCCTAGGTCATTAAATAAAATTTTCTAAACATATATATATAGAGAGAGAGAGTTGAAGTTCCATTTTTTATGGAAAATTTGGTGTGAAGTTCTTGAGGGCAAGGGAGTTGAATACTTCACCCACTAACATTTTTCTAAATAACATGGTCACGTGTGAGGCCTGCACGTATTTTTTTTGGGGGAAACATATTATTAATATTAGGTCAAAAAAATATTTTCTTTAACTACAAATATTTTTTCAAAAATGAATTCCAAAAGGTTAAACCCATTTCAGAAATTATATGATTATATATTTATTTTCTAATTATCCTAATTATATGATTATTATTTATAATTTATAGTGAGTAGTAGGAGACATGACATGAATATGTTATATGAAATTAGTGGAGCTCCATTATATATATATATTACTAAATTTTAGATCTTTATAAACTAACTTATGACAAAACCTGGAACAATGAATATAATAAAGCTTTAAATATCTTAAAAGAAAAATTACCAGATTGATGACTTTCTCTTGTTCTTATTATTATCCTCCAAAAGTCAAATTTGTAAAAATGAAGGGTAGAGTGCAATGGAAAAGGAAGTATGTGCATAAGAAAAACAGTGGTAATGTAAGAATAGATGATGAGTTGGTGAGGTTGCGTTGTGTGGGAAGGAATGATATGTGATTGTGAAGCAACAGAGTGGCTTGCATTTCGCAAAGGCCAAAGAATAACCAAATCAAGACCTCTTCAACAGAAAATGACAATAAATAAACATGAAAAAAAAAATAAAAAAATAGCAAAGTCTAAATTTGTCTACTAGTTCCACCAACTTTAAGCCTCTGAATACCCACCCCATCGTGCCCCCACTTTTGAGAGATTTATTCGTATATCATATATTTGCTCTTTTCCATCTCTTGGTTTTTGCAACCCTTACATTTTCCTGAGTCAAGGTAACCTCTCATCTCCTCCTCCTTCATTAGCTATGAACAATATCATGTTTATTCATAAACTTGAAGCACTTTCGATGCATGTCGTTGACACTTGATTCACGTTGAATGTGACAAAATGTGTTACAAGCACACACATGTACACCCTGCATTTCTATTTGCATGCATGAGCGGCATTTGATCATTAAGATTTGAGATATCTATCTTTCTTTCTTTTTTCCATGCATGCTAGATGTAAAGATGATTGATATTAATTGTTCTGATGAACAAGCATTGGTTTTTGGAGCTTCTTGACACATTTTTCATGGCCATATGTTGCAGGCGTACGTGAAAGCTCCGTTGTGGGCTTTTGATGTAATCAAGTACTTGACGTTAATCTGGCTCAGGGCTGCTTTTGCTCGTGTGTGTAAGTAAAGTTTATTAATCATGGCTGAAATCATGCCCGCACCGGTTGCAATTGACCAACCCATGAAACTTGGTTAGTCTAATAATTCCTTGAATTTCATATTTCACAACATTCTCTCTGAAGTTTCTTGGTCTGCATTCACTTATATTATATGCATGCACAATGGAAAACTAATCTATTTTACACTAGCTAGAATGTGGAAAGGTATAATAACAATTTTGCAGGCTATCATAGAAAAACACTTTATATTTAAATGTGCGTTTTGCAGAAACGGGGATCATGGTAGGAATGTGCATATGGCTGACTTCTTCTCTGGTTTGGTTTTCATTGCAGAAACAATTTAAAGTAGAGTTCCAAAAAAAACAACGGATTAATGTTAGTGGTTTACATAATTAATGTACCTAAAAATTTGTAAGGATATAAACTTTGCAACCAATAATGCATTCAATGCTATACTGCTATCCATTAATTAATTGCTGGGTTCGATAACAAGCAAAAAACATTTATAAATCCAGATGACATGGTATTGGAAAAATACGTAGTTACCTTTGCAAGGTTGTTAATGGAAACAGGTGCAACAGCAGGGGATGAAGATGTTTAGCGTGTGAATTTCTTTCTTTCAATTATCTTATTCAACTTGTCGGGTAAATTTTACTTTCTTGCAAGCGCAGGTCATGAATCTGAATGTTCCGAGGATGAAAGGAAGAAAAGGGTTGGATCATTCAAGAAGGTGGCCATCAGCGCCTCATCTAAGTTCAAGAGTTCCTTTACCAAGAAGGGGCGGAGGCACAGCAGGGTTATGTCTGTTTCTATTGAGGATAATCTGGATGCAGAAGAGTTGCAAGCAGTTGATGCTTTTCGCCAAGCACTTATCTTGGAAGAGCTATTGCCCTCAAGACATGATGATCACCATATGATGCTAAGGTGACCTTGAGAAATAGTTTTCTTTTCATAGATTTACTTATTTACTTCCTGGCTGTATGTAGTATGAACAATAACTCAACTTTGTGGAATACCTTAATTTTATGATGATCTAGATTTTTGAGAGCAAGGAAGTATGACATTGAGAAAACAAAACAAATGTGGGGAGATATGCTTAAGTGGAGGCAGGAATTTGGTGCAGACACTATCATGGAGGTATTCTTGTGCAGAAAAGGAAACTCACTCGTCATGCTCTGATATTTTGTGTGACTTTTTGTTTATGTATCTCATCAAGTATTTTTGTCTTTAAGGATTTTGAATTCAAGGAACAAGATGAAGTTCTAAAATACTACCCACAAGGGCATCATGGGGTTGACAAGGATGGCAGACCTGTTTACATTGAAAAGTTGGGTCAGGTTGACTCTACCAAGCTGATGCAAGCAACAACAATGGATCGTTATCTCAAGTACCATGTCAGGGAGTTTGAGAGGACCTTTGCTGTTAAGTTACCTGCTTGTTCCATTGCAGCAAAGAAGCACATTGACCAAAGCACAACTATTTTGGATGTGCAAGGAGTGGTATGTATAAAAATTCTATCTAGGGACATATTTAAGTTCATCAATGCCTCTGCCAAAAAGAACAATAGTTACACCTTAAAAGATAGTAACTAAATGTGCGTTTCCAATTTTTTGTGGAGCATATCATTTCAATTATTATTATTTTTTCAAATAGAAACAAGTTTCACACAATTTCTGACTAGCATACTTGTTCAGGGTCTTAAAAGTATGAACAAAGCCGCAAGAGATCTCCTCCAGAGGCTTCAGAAGATTGATGGTGACAACTATCCTGAGGTACGGGTTTATTTCATCTAAATGGGCATGGAAACAGTTTGAACAGCCCTCTAAATTTACATAATTGAACTCTTTCTTTTTTTCCTACACAGTCACTGAACCGTATGTTCATCATCAATGCTGGTTCTGGATTTAGGCTCTTGTGGAACACCGTTAAGTCATTCCTAGATCCCAAAACCACCGCGAAAATCCATGTAAACATTTTTAGTCTGCTTATCAATTAGAACGAAGGTTGATTTTCAGTTAAGCAGGGACACTGAACAGATTAATGATTTCTTGGCCAGGTCCTAGGTAACAAATACCAGAGCAAGTTGCTTGAAATCATTGATGCCAGGTTAAACTTATATTTTCTCTCATTGAATTATTTCATTTGCAACTGCTAATCATATGCATAATTTGGAATTGAGTAATGTACACTCTTCATGATCAAATTCATTGATTTATAAAAAAATCATTAAATTTGTTCTTCCATTATGACAATGGCATTACTCCTAAAGACCACACATATAACACCTCAGTTCTCTATCTTATTTTCCAGTGAACTTCCAGAATTTTTGGGTGGCACTTGTACTTGCGCAGATAAAGGTGGTTGCATGCTTTCTGACAAGGGGCCGTGGAATGACCCAGATATCCTCAAGGTAGTTTATTGCTGAAGGATAAATTTCTTTAGTTACGTAGCAAAGAAAAACAATAAAGTATTTGTTCTTGATGAATTAGATGGTTCAAAATGGGGAGGGCAAATGCAAGAGACGGACCTTGTCTGGGATTGAGGAGAAAACAATGATAGAAGATAAGACAACACATAAAAATGCAGTAAGTTTCCAACCTTTTAGTGAAACTCTTCGTATTTATTTGTCAGAATACTTGAGAACTTAGTATACTTTTTTGCCTATAATATCAAGGGAAACAAAGAATCATATCCACAGACATATGATGCTGATGTGCCATGTTTATCTCCAAAAGTAAGTGCCATTGACAAAATGTAAATCAAAATTTCTCTATTTGCTATCATGCTTTGAAGAATTGCCCTTATAATACATATTGCAGGTGGTAAAGCCTGTGTATAAATATGACGACTTTGTTCCTGTGCTTGGCAAGCCAGTCGATTCATCTTGGAATAAATTAATGAAGAATGACAATGGTGCACTTTCTAAAGGTATTACATAAAAAGGAACTTTGCCTGCACTTCTAATGTAACAGATATTTGTGGTTGGTTTTGTTAAAATTATAAATTTAATTTGGAAATGGTGCAGATTGTTTTCCTAGCAATGTGAATACCAATCACTTTCTTGGCGGAATCATGGCCTTTGTTATGGGAATTGTTACCATGATCCGCATGACAAAGAACATGCCAAGGAAACTGAATGAAGCAACGCTGTATGGCAGCTCAGGATATTACGATGGCACCATGATGAAAGCGGCCACCATCTCACGCGATGATTACATAACCGTTATGAAGCGCATGGCTGAACTGGAAGAGAAAATCATTGTCCTCAGCAAGAGACCTGTCATGCCACCCGAAAAGGAGGAAGTGCTGAATAATGCTCTAAACAGAGTCACCACTCTCGAAGAAGACTTGGTTGCAACCAAAAAGGTTTACAACTTTTCCTTCCTATTTAATTTCCATGAATGATATTTTCCTTATATTTCAACTTCGTATTTTATTTGGCTTTCTATTTTGTCTTTAGGCACTTGATGATGCCCTAGCTCGACAAGTACAACTCCAAGCTCAAGTTGACAAGAAAAAGAAGAAGAAGTTGGTATGTCATACCAGCCATATATATTTCCATAAATTTCTTCTGTAGGTTTATCTATCGACTACTTCTATTCACACGTTGCTTTGGTTTGTGATTACAGTTACGCTTCGGCTGTTTTGCTGCTTGATTTCAAGTATTTTACTTCATCAGGAAGAGTTGTAAAAATGGAGGCTTTCTATTTTGACAGCCTATCAATATTTGATTAAAAACCTGTCCCTGTTCAGTATGAAGTTTGCCATTCCTAGACAATTGTGTATATGTTCGAAAATTGCATGGTTTTGTTTTTGTTTTAACATTTCAAACAAAAAAACAGATTATCCTGCTCTGCGAGTTCCTGGTCTTCAAATCCATCAAGAATAACGAAACTTGTGTTATGAATATGACCCCTCGGCTCAGCAATTATCTTAAAATTCCATGTAAGATATTTTACGAAGTATATTATGCATTCACATAATCATGATGATAAGAAAAACCTCTTTCATTTAAATTGGTACACGAAGGTAAATCCTTAAACAATGTATGGACAACAATAAATTAAAACGAAGACTTCATTCGATGGACATAGACAACAGCTACATACCAAAAAATATTTTGCCGACTGAATTTGCTTTTAACTGGACATATCTATAGTATATGATCGAAATAATTTCGGAAACACTAATGTAAGTTTGTATGCCAGTGTTTTAACATTACTGAAAAACTCAGCAAAGTATACAAGAGATTGAAAAAAGAAAAATGTTTTTCAACTAAAAAAGGAAACACGGATGAATGAAAGTAACCATAAAAAAAAGGGCTCGTGTTTCACAAGCCAGCAAAGATAGTATAGTGAATATACACACGTTGAAAGAAACAATTATCCATTATGTTAACTCATATTATACTGAAAATCAGTTGTCAGAGTTACATCATGTGCAAGTTTAACATTCCTTAAGAACAACCGTGCTTTGAGGCATCCTCTGCAAAATCTCTTGCCTAGTAATAAATCTCACCAGCAAAACTTCTTTTTCTGATTAAAACACAGACAACGAAGGAAACAGAAATATAAAAAATCAGATACATGTATAAAGGTTTTAACTTTATTCAAAGATACACTGGCCCAACTTACCCGCGACTTGGCTTCTTCTTGTCTGTCGATGTAAGCAAGCAGCTCTTCTTGTCTCATTAATGCGTCATACAGAGCCTATGTAGAATTCATCAAATCCAGATGTTAGAGACTCAGGTAAGCAATCAATGAGACACGGTATTCTTCATCCACCCTATACTATGTCATCTTGGAATGCACAAACAAACTCAATTCCATGCAGATGCTAATTATTTCTATGCCGTAAATGGCATTTTTTTTAAAGTTTTAGATAAAAAAAATAGGAAAAACAATAAATGGATATATCTTAATGCTTTACACATGCACACCATAAATATAGAGAGCATCGGCATTATGACGTAATCTGCAAAAAGTGGTAAATAACATAAGCATCCTACCTTTTTAGTGGCAATTAACTCAGCTTCCAAAGCATCCACCCGGCATACTGCAGCATTCAACAACTCTTCTTTCTCATAAGGCATCTCTGATGGTTTAGATTGGAGTGTGTCAACCTTCTCTTCAAGCTCACCTAACCTTTTCAGCATGGAGGGAAGGAGATTTTCTTCTGTACATGGTGGTGTTGAGGAAGGAGGAAGAAATTCCATGTTTGTTGTATCAGTAGGTGGTTCTGAAGTGCTCTTATCATCATTAGATGATAATGCAGGAAATTTCTTGGTCACAGGGTATGCAACTTGACGTAAAAGAGTTAATACAGTCAAGAAGAAGACAGACAGTGCTACCCAAATACGAGCTTGAAATCCTTCTGGAGTTTTTTGAGTGACAGGAAGAGAAGAAGCTCCTGTAATGAAATTCAATTAAGTCTCTGGAGAAAATTGCATCAAACAATTCAAATTCACAAAGCAAGTTGCACTGTGGAGCAACAAAGCTCTAACTCTTAGATACAGGTTATAGGGATGGTTTAGATTTCTCTACGACTCCCACAGACCCATCACAAAACTATTTGAGTTTCGAGTTCAGACTTAGTCATTGTATATGTCAAGGATCCCTAGTTCAACATCTCAGTGCAGAGACCACAAAAACTCTAGCATGAGCACAAATAGCATGATGAATGTATACTGAAGATTAAGCTAACAAGATAAATAATTTATAGACCACAGATATAGATACTCAATATATAAACACAGAATCCCAAATTTAAAGACAAGTGTATAAAAAAATTTAAGTAATAGCGGCAGTCTAGACACAAACACGATCACCATAATTCTAAGGTAGAAATTATAAGCCACTAACAACCAAAGACAGAGAATAAAGCCTATCAAAATACCTAATTTTAGATGCATTTGTGCAATGGATTAATTTACACTGAATAAGAAAAAATGAAAGGATTCATCAAAAGTGTATGTACATCAACAATACCAGGCCATAAGTCACTAACCTTTTGAGGTGTAAGACCTCTGTAGGGACGCTTGCTTGTTCCAACCAGCATCAACAGGTATGTCTACCATTGGAACATATTCATCGTATCCAGACAAGTTATTGGCATAGCTTGTTTTTCCAACTATCTTAGCCTGACAAAGATTACAAGTGCAAACAACTTTTACATTTGGGAAAGAAAAGGGTGCTCTAAAAAATATTAGAACTTTGAAATAGTTCTTTTTATTACCAATTATTTCAAGGTTTATTTACTATTATTTCCCATAAAAATGAAATTAAAAAATATAACAAAAACCAAAGACCAATCCATTTAAAATTGCTTTTGGTAAGATTAATTAGACCCAATTTGAATGTAAAACCAAAATGACAGGATGGTAAATAAGAAATCGATGGGGCTAGACCAATTATTTTTCATCCCAAAATTGATCCAATCCAATCTACAGACACTCCTAATTTAACAAGGCAGGAAACGGTGCAGACATCAAGACAATCATAGCCACTTCTCTAATAAGTCAACTTACTTCCTCATGAACAGGGGTCAGCTTAAGGTGTGAATAACTCCTCATTGCTTTCGGAGAGGATATATCTTCAGCTTCTGACCCTGATTCAGCAGTGGATGTATCACTTCCTTTTACCTGTTGGGTAGAGGTAATAAAATTAAATATGATATATGATGAACATGACACTGAGGAAAGATATGATTGTGATAGCATTAATTTGGTTCCATTCGGAAAAAAAAGTACCATTGGGTATCCTGGCTTAGCATACACAATAACCTTTCTTTCGTTGTTAAGAACTTTTACAACTTGTTTTGACCGCCATGCTCCACCATTGAAAACCATCTGTGAAGAATTCACATGCAATCAACTGTCAGCCTATTACAAGTGAAACTGACAGTATAGCACATAACCTATCAAAAATCAATCAAGAACAGCAATAACCTTGAATATTTCAGGATTTTTCCAGGGCCCTTTATCAGATCTAAGGCAACCTCCCTGTTCTGCACAGGTGCAAGTACCTCCCAGAAATTCTGGCAACTCACTTCATCATGTGCAAAATAATATATTAGGCATTTAAAAGGATCATGTAAATTGAAGTAGTGCAAAATATTATGAATTATTAGCCACGGAAAAGAAAAATAAATAAATAGAAAAGTTGTAACATGCAGAGATTATAATAAACATATAAAAGATAGAGTCATTAAGTACCTGGCTTCTATTACTTCAAGCAATTTGCTTTGATACTTGTTTCCAAGAACCTAAGTAATGTTTCGAAATAAATATCAAACAGCTTCAGAAGTCTTAGAACATCATTAAACAGATCTTTAAACAGCTAGAAAATGGCATTTTTCCATACATGAATCTTGGAAGTTGTTTTTGGATCGAGAAAAGATTTGACAGTGTTCCACAACAGCCTAAATCCAGGCCCAGCATTTATAATAAACATCTGGCAAAGGGTCTGCATCATTAACAAAAGAATCATTAGTCACTGTGACCATAGTATATCATCTTTCAGATTTCCAGTAACCGATGAAATCAGCATTCCAAAAGAAAATAGCTACAAGAATTACATAGGGAACAAAAGTACACACCTCAGGATAATTGTCACCGTCAATTTTCTGCAATCGCGTAACAAGTTCACGGGCAGACTTTGTAAAGTTCTTAAGACCCTGATGATGTCAATCATATAATAAACATGTTAGTTATATGTTATAGGCTTTTAGTTAAAAGTCAACACAGAGGAATAATTACAGGTAACATACCACTCCTTGAACATCTAAGATCGTGGTGCTAGAATCAATGTGTCTCTTCGCAGCAATAGTACAAGCCGGAAACTTTACTGCAAAAGCTTTCTCAAACTCTTGCACATGGTACCTGACGTACCTATCCATAGTTGTAACTTGCATAAGTTTGTTTGGATCAACTTTTCCAAGTCTTTCAATATAAACAGGCCTTCCCTCCTTATCAATGCCATGATGACCATGTGGATAATACTTCACAACTTCATCTAACTCTTCGAACACAAAATCCTGACAAAAGCACGAAATAGTAGACACGCTTATTATTCACTGTAATATTGCCTCAGCACCAACACGTCCCAAATTCCAACCTCATTTACCTGCATAATAGTGTCCGCGCCGAACTCTTTCCTCCATTGTAGCATGTCAGACCACATATGTTTTGCCTTTTCAATATCGAACTTCCTCGCTTTCAGAAATCTTTAAAATGACATAATTAAGAAAACTCAGGTATAAGTTCATTTGTCCAAAATAATACAAGCAATTTAACACCAGACTAGGGTTTCACTCTTTATTTTGAAGAACATCAGCTCTACGCGTAGTACTTTTTGCAATTAAAATTCTTGTGTTATAAAGGTTTTAAAAGCGTTGCGCGACAGCAATTTCAGCCGCATCATCAAGGTTTTCGAACTAACAGCTGCCGCATTGCAACAGCAGTTGCGGCCACATCAGCTGCAATTTTCCGCAACGTCGAGGATGATGACAACCACAATTTAAACACCCTTAATTACCTCAACATCATATGGTAGTCATCAAACGCTTCAGGAAGCAATTCGTCCATGATCAACGATTGGCGAAACGCGTCCACAGCTTGCAGCTCCTCAAAATCGCGAACGTCCTCAATCGACACGGAGCTAACACGGCCATCGCTCTTTCTCCTGCTACTCTTCTTTCTAAGAGAGTGTTTGAATTTCGAGGATGCATTGAGCGCTTTCTTTTTGAGAGATCCAATTCTGGTCCTCCTCTCATCCTCGGAGTTCTCGAAGTCAGATCTCCTCTCCCTCTTCTCATCACTGCCCGAAAACCCCTCAAAACCTGCCAAAACCCACAATCAAAACTCAAAACAGTACAACCACACAACAAAGCACATAATCCTCCGTCACAGAAAAGGCAATTCTTCTGAAAATTAAACAAAGAGAGACTCACAAGGTCTGGCAAAACGATCGAGGGGACCGGACATTGTGGTTGCGATGATCAATTGCGAGTGAAACACATAAAGAATTCAGAAACCCTAAGATTCGAAGGTTTTTTTTTTTTTGTGTAGTGAGGGACTCCGATTCGAACGTATGAATTGCGTTTGCGAGTGAATTAAAAGAAGATTATGATAATTAAAAAAAAGGAATAAATAGGAATAAATAAGGGGAGTTTGACGTCGGCGACAGCTAGAGAAAGCAGAGAGAGAGAGGAAGGGAAGGAGGGCGCGTGGGAGGTGATGTGGGAATGAATAGGAGCTGGAGAAGGAAGGAGGGAGCATGTGGGTCCCAGTTGGTTGAGTGGTGCTGACACGTGGCGGTGGCTGATGTGAGAAGGTTCAGAGAATGAACCAATAGGAAAGCGTCAGACTTCATTTCCTCAAGGGAGGCATTCTGTCAAACACGGCAGCTTTGCCAAACTCCCCACACTCATATCTGTCTTTCAATGTGTTCTAAAAGTTATGCAAAAAAACATCCCATTATTTCACCTTTCATTTCTTTTTTTAATCTCCATTTTCACCTTTCAATCTTCTTCAGATTTTTGTTTAATGATGGTGTGATGGATTAAGATTTTTCAAACGGTTTTAGATTTTTTATATTAAGTAATCAAAATAGGTTTTTTGATATATAATTTGGGATTAAGTTTAACAGAGTGGATTATTGCAACCGGGTTTCTTACCTAACAGTTTAGGTCTACTTTTTCAGTTTTGACAAAAAAAAATGTAAGGAAAATTATCATTTATCTACAAAAAAGTTCTATAGAAGGGACACTATATATAAAATTATAATTATAAATATATAAGATTTGAGTACAAAATAAAATATTATCATGTACTTAACAATAATTTTAACAAAATCAAATATAAATATATAATTATAATTATAATTTTTTGGGAGAGTGACAAAAATCTGTAGTATTTAATTAAAATCAGCTTATACAAATATTTTAGATATTTAAATTTAATAAAGTTTGATAAGTTATTTCTTATGATAAATTTCATATGATTTTTTAATAAAGGTTCTGTATATATATTTGCAACATTTTATAATTTTGATGAATATTTAATTAAAAAAAATTAAAAAAATAAACTAAAAGAAAATACTCTAGTTTTAGGTATATTTTTGAAATCCAATATAAAAACCTTACAGTATTTAATTTATCACAAAAACATAAATACATTGTAGTAAATTTTCATAAACTGCAAAATAATTATTATGTATAACAGTTATTTTATTCATAATATCTGTTTCCTCCTTTAATTGTCCTTTTTAGATAATTTGTCACCTTAGTAAATATTAAAATTCTTTAAGTTTTTATTCATCTACACTTCAACCCACTAAACTCCAAGAGATGCACCATTCTTGGACCAAATCAAAACCTAACAAGCTTGTTCAATCATTTCTATGTGAATGTTTCAAATTACATAATTAATATTTCACACATAATTACGCATTATTTTTTAATTTTATTATATTTTTTGTTATATCAAGTGAATAATAACAAGTATAAAATCAATAATTATTTTATAATATAATTTATTCTATTAAAAAAACCTTCTTATAAATTTAGAGATAAGAATTATCTTTGACCCCTTTAAATTTTGAGAAACTAAATTCTGTAGCTCCTTGTTATTTATGTTATGTTTATATATCTAATTTGGAAATAATTTAAACTCAATAATAGAAGTCTAACAAGAGAAAACAATAAAAGTCACTACCTTTTTCTACGTTGTTATGACTTCCATTTTTTTTTCAAATATAAAGATTTGACTACATCTTAATTTGCATTTCGTGTAATTCAATGTTTTTTTCTTAAATACCAAAATATGGAAACCATCTTGATTTTGATGCAAACTACAAAGAACAACTTGACATAAGGAAAACTTGTAAACCAAAAATTAAAATGCGAACCAATCTGTCCTGTATTTTAAAATCAGCTTGACTTATTGCGTTTCTCACGCATCAATCATTCTCAATTATTAATTAAGGGATGGGAATCTTTGGGTTAAAGAATTCCTATTATACATAATAACTTATTATGCTAATTTAATTTTGATATATCATTAATATAAAACAAAAAGAGATTGATTACTATATTTTATTTTATTAATATATATCATTAATATATTTTATTTACATTCAAGATTGTAACCTCGACTAAACGTATAAACTGTAACAAATAATAACGTGAAAGCTTGTGATGAAGGAAAATCCATTTGTTCAACTAACGTAATGTGGTGAGACTTCACTTCCATTAGGAAACACGCCAAGATGCAGACGCCACCATGTTTTTTCACGCTAATTTATAGCAGTTCATGAACATCCTAAAAACATTAATTTATAATTTGTATTATAAATTTAAATAAATTGGTTTTGAAAATTAAAAATATTTTACATTTTTTTTTAATTTTAAGTTTATGAATTAATATGTTTTAAGTCAGCACGTCTATTTTCGGATCTCAATAAAAAAATATAAAGAAAAACAAAAGTAAAAAGTTGGTAGAGTTTTTTCTTCTTTAAATTCAATTTAAAAACTTATTATTAATATCTACATGCAAAATTATTAATAAAAAATTAGGATATATCTACAATATTCAAAAATATTAACTTAATATAGCAAGCCCAATAAACTGCTACCTTGGTTCTTTGATAAAGAAAAGTAAAAAAACTATCCTTCGTTGGGCTTAAATAAAAAAAAAGAAACAAAAAAACAAGTTTGGGCTTCGTTCAACGCAATACATGCCAATGGGCTTCTGTACGCCATCTTCTATTTGGGCCTGCATGGCTCAGGATTGAAAGGGTTATATTTTCTTGAAGGTTTATATCCAATTAAAACTATAATTTTATATTTTTAGTTAACTTTAACAGATAAGAAATTGTATGAAAGCGTTTAGGTTCGTATTGAAAATTCAATAATAATTTATAAGCAAAAATATTTTTAAAAAGCATTGTAAGCTACTGAAATAAATTTTGTTACTGAATATTTTTATTTTGATCAAAATGAGCTTATAAACTAGTAAAATAAGTTATATATTAGTTGAAATGAAAGAGATAAATATTACGATGTATTTAATTTAATCATTTCTTTATATTTTAAGTATTAAAAAATCATTAAAATTTATATATATATATATATATATATATATATATTAATGTCATCACATGTAATATTATGTTTTCAATTTAATTTTATGTATTATTATGGTTATTATTTTATTATATTCCATGACATAGTACAGGTTTTAAATGTTTCCTACTTCCTCGTACCATTAAAAAAAAAAACGTTTTAAAAACAGTGGAAGAAAAAGATGATTTAATTAATTGTTTTTTCTGGTTAAGAGTCAGAGTTTAATTTAATTCATGCAGTAGGGGCGGTTTGTTCTGTCATGTAACATTAATTCAGTGGGACAAGTGAAAAAGATTGAAATATCATTAAAAAACATGTTTTTATTAAGTTTTTTTTTTTTATATAGAGAGAAAGACAAATTAACCATTTTATTATTTGAAATTAATTTATACGCATATTAAAAATATCACTTCTATAAATTAATTAATATTACTCAATGCTAAAGGAATTCAGTGTTTATTTATATATATAATTTTTTTTAGTTAAAAATAAATTACTAAAAAGTTTTATTTTCTAATATTTATTTATAAAAATAATAATGAAATATTTCCCTTAATTGAATAGTTTAGATTTTGAATTTCCACTTTAAATATAAAATGAAATCAAATTATATAAAGAATACACTAATTTTCTGAAATTTGAATTTCTTTAATATATGTACTTATCTTTATACTTTCCAACGACAATCTTAACTATTAATTTTATATTTAATAATTATTAAAATCAAGAGTATAAAAAATTAATTATATAAAATATAATGAAAATTTACACAGCGTCGAGGTATACAAAGAATCCAAATTACGTTGAAATTAAAAACTTCACATACGTTTTTCTATCTGCAAAATATTCTTAATTTAAATTTAAATTATTATTTTTTATTAGATGGTTATAAATAAAAAACAAAAAAATTATATAAAATATTTATACTGTTTTTAAAGTTAAGACAGAATATATAATATTTTCATCGTAAAAGTATTTTTTATATTACATATATTTTTGTCAGAAAAAATGAATTAAATTTTAAATAAACTAAAACAAAGTAGTAACGTGTACTGGACAAATATAATTTATAAATGTTACCAAATGTGATCAATACACTTGTTTTTTTTTTCTTGTAATTTTATTTATAAAAATATAATATTTTTGTTGTGATGAAATTGGGGTGAATGAGTAGTGACACAAATAGAAGGAATACAATTATTGGTTTTTTTCTTATGAGACCACGCATCCTGTGTCATTGTTGCTTCCAGCTGGATTTCGACAGTGACTGTTCCAATTCACCCTCATATAAATTTCACACACAAAAAAAAAGTTATTTAAAATAATTATATATATTAATAATGAATCCATTTTGTTTGTCTAGATGAAGTCCAACATCTTCTCTCTTTTTTTTTTAAGTTTTGATTTTTTTTTAAATATAAAAAAGAATATTTATTATTATATTTTTTAATAGTAAGCTATATTTTTTAAAATAAAGAAAATTATTTCTATATTTCTATTATGATTTTTATTTCTTATTGTTATTTTAATTAATTTAAATTTTAGAAATACTAACAAAAATAAAAATAATTTAAACATGTCTGTAAATAATTTTCTATTCATGATATTTTCATAAATTACATTCTATAAAACCATAAAACAAATGTGCTTATTAGAGCAAAACAATTTTGTTTATGCATAACAGGATATGATGCAATAGAACAAAATAAGTGTTGATAGAACGTGTCTACGTATATTATGCTGATTAAAATTCTATTGTGTTTTTTCATTATATGAAAGAAAAAGGGAAGAAAGTTAGATAAAATTATATTATTTAATATATTTTGGCTTGTTTGTGCGTGCTGATGGTTTTGGATTTGAAAAAGACTAATTTTTTTGCATCAACTTGATGGGCTTTTTGTTCTATAAATTCTCTGATTCAAACATAGAGACTCCCCTTCCACTTTCTCCCTTCTTTCTCATCACTAACTTTTAAGATATTTTTGTTACTCTGCTTCTCTACACCACCCCTTTCTTTATTTTTTTCACATCTGAGAACCCTTCTGCAAACATCCCCCTTGGGATGATCTTCCATGTTTTCGACACCCCAGTTTGAAGGCTCGTATATGCCCAACAACTTGTTCTTGATGTTTCAGATTAATGTATCCAATTCTTAGTGAAATCTTCTTTTCCGGGTGTATGATCAATTCCACTGTGAGACGCAGGACCCATTTAGTTCAATCCTTCTCAGTTGCCTTCCTTTACTGGCTCTACTACGTTTCATGATTTCTGCCTCCACCCCAACCTTCTATTTATAGTTTCTATATTATTACTACTATTTTCAACAGCGTTTTTTCGTTTCCGTTTTTTTTTTCTTAGTGTCTGGGTCCTGCGTTCTCCAATCCAAGAGTCGATTTTTCTTGTTTGTTTACTTTTGATTCCAGTGTTGACCAGTTTCGATGGCTTCGTCGAGTGGAACATCTTCAGGGTCGTCTCTGCTTCAGAATTCGGGTTCAGAGGAGGACCTGCAGGCCGTGATGGATCAGAGGAAGAGAAAGAGAATGATATCGAACCGCGAATCGGCGAGGCGATCCCGAATGAGGAAGCAGAAGCACTTGGATGATCTGGCATCACTGGTGACTCAGCTGAGGAACGAGAATCACCAGATTCTCACATCGGTCAATCTCACCACCCAGAAGTACTTGGCGGTGGAGGCTGAGAACTCGGTGCTGAGAGCACAAGTGAGCGAGTTGAGCCACAGGTTAGAGTCTCTGAACGAGATCAACGACTTCTTGAACGCCACCAATGGTGCCTTTGGGCCTCCGGGCCCATCACCAACCTCCTTCTTTGAGCCCGAGGGTAGCACCTTCTTCAACAACCCTTTCAACATGGGTTATCTCAGCCAACCGATCATGGCTTCTGCAGATATGTTGCAGTACTGAGAGAGATGATATGATAAGATGGGCTTTTTTCTCTGGATTTTAGAGAGAGAGAGAGAGAGAGAGAGAGAGAAGAGGGGTGATGTTGGGTTTGTTTGTGTTTAGGTTCATGTTTGGTAGGGAAATTGTAATCGGTGGTGGCAGAGATAGTGAGTGCGATAAGGAATAATGATGATGAATGCGTATGATATGATAAAGTGGGTAAGCTTGTTGGGTGCTGCATCTGTGAATGGGCCCTGTGGTCTTCACATATCAGATCACCCTATTATTGCCGCAACTGTACTTCCCTATATCAGACCTGTATTATTTATGTCATGTGATCAAATCATATAACATCATATGTTTTATCTCATCAACTATTTTTAATTTTAGTTTAATTTCTCTCTAATGCTCATGCCTGTGCTTTTCTGCCATGGCCTTTGATTGACTTAATCAAGAGTTTGAATTTGGTACAAGAAAGATACTAATCAAAAGTTTGATCATCATGTCTGTGGTAAACATTAATAAATGATAAAATATTTCGAAATTTTACATTTATAACATCATACAAAAAAAAGGTGTAAAAGCTATAATCATTTTAGCCATAGAAAAGAAAAAAAAAACTTTACATAACAGTTTAAAAAAATAATTTTACATGGTCAGAAAGTTTTTTTAACGAAAATTAATTATGGAGCTGGTGATACTCTTCAACGTTTGCTCAAATGGAATATAAAATCTTGACATCACGTTGAATAAAAATTAAGCTCTCACAATAATAACAATATTATTATCCAACCCCAAATATTTTACTTGCTGTGATACCTCTTTTGCTCGAAGACTCGGTACCATTCATCGTTGTATATCCTAAACTCCGTGATTTGCTTAATTGTTGCATATTTTTTACCTTTTCATTCTGTGGTGCCCCTTTTACTCAAATGCTCTGATTAATGTTATTATTTTATATCCTGAGCTAGTGCTTTGGACTAAACTCGAGGTAGAATACAATTTTGATAGTTGCTCTTGAATGTAGTTTAGTGGACAAAGTTGAATTCATTATTATAATAGTAATTCATGTTTGAACTTTGACATGATGCATGCACTCTTCCGATCAGTGGGTCCATGCACAGGTTTTACTTCTCTTTACTGTGGTCTTTTTCGTGAGTTACTTACTGGACCCGTTTACTTTTTTGATCCCACAGAGATAGGAATTAGGTTCATTGAGCTTTCATAATTCACATGGTTCAGCCATTTTTGAGGACTCTTGATAGAAAGAACTAAAGTAATAGACTAATAGTAGTAGTATAGATAGTAAGAACTAAAGGCTACTAAAGGCTAAAGATGTTATTACCAAGAAACGGGTTAAGATTCCCAGAGATTATTGTTATTATATATGGTAGAAATATATTCGGTTTGTCTATAGAGGCCTCACGAAATGCCCAGAGATTCGCATATCTTAAACTGAAGGAAAAGTCCAAAACTGACCAACAAGAGAAAGGGACAACTGAAGAGGAAACTTGGCTGTGGCACCCCAACTTCTGATCTCCCCAAAAGAGATTTCTTGAAATGGTGAACACAGACATATATATCTCCGTAGTGTCTGTGATATGTCTAACTCAAATTATGAGTCATTATATTTTCAGCTACTCTCATTGCTAGCAAGCAACATATTCAACCTCTGGGGCTTTTCTTTTTGTTTTGATTCGTACCAGGATATATATAAAAGAAAATATAATATATACAAGAATAATAAGAGAGTTATAGTTGCACTGACAACTAAGAAATTGAAAGCAAAGGGTATGCAATGCAACTTTGAGTTAAAGCTGCCACGCCAAGTTCTTGGAAAGTTATAAAGATTAAAGGGGCATGATTTAGTAATAAGAGCAAAGATGAGTGCGGTCTTATTGTGTGCCAGGGACAAGTTTCACGTGCTAGGACCAAGGTTTTCAGAGCAAGTATCTCTAGACATGGTACTGAAATCTCAGAACTGAAATGAATGGTTTGCATATTGTGGTATATGTTCACTAACTTTTACCCAAATCATATTTAACTTGATAGCAAGTGACACAAACATGTGGTTTAGTCACATGAAAACTTACTAGATTTCAGTATAAAGTATGGTTTATAAGATAAATTAGTATCACACGTTGTAAATGAATGGAGCCACTTTGGAACCTTACTAGAGTATTCTGGTGAAAAAATGGTCCAGGAATCTCTCAGCAAACAGAAAGAAGTTAATTGCTTGAAGTTGAACTGCTCTTATTGCAGAGAAGCACGGTAATAACAAAATGGTTTAATAGCTTTATTCCTAATTTTGCTGAATTTAGTGTATGATTCTGTTCCAAAAGAGAAAAAAGAGGATGAAGAGTTTCTTGCAATAACAAAGGCTGCTGCACTGCATGCTCCTAGATATTGGAGTTAATGCCTCAAAAAGTTAAAGTAAGCGCGCTAACTTGTACTTATAAAGTCCATTTATTTAAAAGAGTATATTATATTAGCTTGTTTTTTACTCTACTCATGAACATTTGCCATACACAAACTTTCCTTCTCATGAATAGTTTTCTTCTTTTTATCTTTATTCACAAAATATCACTTTTTTTTTCTTTACTTAAATACTAGTATAAATTTTATCCTTCAAACTATTTATTCTTTCATTTCAATCTTTATAAAAAAATTGATATTTGATTTCATAGAAATGCACATTGAGTTACTAAATAAGTTTCTTTTATAAAGTGCGAACGGGTCATGCATATATTATTGACACATAGATCATAGACACATGACTTTATTTTCCCACTTAAAAAAAATATAATAATAAAAACTAATGACATGTATTTTGATTAAGTTTTTAGGAAGTCAAAACAAAACTTATAAACACTTAAAAAAATAATAAAAATTATGTATGAATATTCCTATTTTTTGGAAAAAGTTGTAAAACACAATACTTTTGTTTTACACAGTCCTTTTTCTCTTTGCAAAGATGGGATTTACATCTAAATCTATGGAACACTTCATTAAAAAAGAGAAGAGGCTAAGTAACTAGGCTTCAACTTAGGTTTTAGCTAAATGTTAATTTTACATACAAAAGAACCCTCCCACTTAACATATGTTTTGTTTTTACAGGTTGACATTAAATTGTAGCTATAAATGATTAGTAATTTTTTCTTTCTTTTTCTTTTCCTCCTAGCATTCACACTCTTGAAAACAGACACAATTATAAATAGTTTTTCTCCTTTTCCCAATCAATACACATTTTTTGTCTTTGCATGGTTACATTTTCTTTGGGTTGTCAATGCTTGGGTCACAACCCAAAGATATTAAAATATAATTTCACGAGTATTACGCAACTTTGATTCCCTTTAAATAATGGCCGTTTAAAGCATTAAGATGAGTACCACTAACGATAGTTGCAACTCTCTCAACTTCAATGAACATTAGACAAATGCAGAAAAATGCAAACTTTAAATTACAGATGCGCCATTGGATCAGTCTCTTACACATGCCAACCGTGGAAAAAACCATTTTCTTACCTTCTAAGAATGAGACTTGCATCAAAGTTGCCTCTTAGAACTAGTTCAAGGGTGTGATTATTAAGAATTAACTAAATAGATTAATTTGCATTAAAGCGAAATTTCTGAATAAAAATGGAATTAAGTGATGGAAGGTAAAAGCATGAGAAAGATCTAGTTCCAGGAAGCAACATTGTCGGAAAAAACCATGAGATCTGATTCAATGATTCACTAATCTGTGTGTGATTTTATTGTGATGTTTGGTAGCCTTGGATTGAGTATCATGTAAGGCTTTGACTCGGTGCAGCAAAATCAAACCCAACATAACACACACATTGCTGAAAGAAAAATAAGAAGCATAAGTCTGTTTCATCATTCATTTATCCAAAATAGTGTAAGGAGAAATTCCACTTAATTAGTCCAAAGTAAAAAACTTTATAATAGATTTTTCGATTGGGATTCAACTCAAGGATATAGGAATATAATCTCTACCTCTTCTTTTTCAAAATCTACGAAGTTCAGAAGTTACAAGTTCAATGGCTACAGATGAATTCGCATATATTTCTCTGCACATAACAAGATTTCAATTGGAGGGTTGACACTTGACAACATATTCGGGAGAATAATTTCTCACTTTCAAACAGGACCTTTGAGTTAATTATAGATTGTTAATTACATATTGCAATTTTTGTAATAAGTCTACGTTTGAATTGAAAAAAGAGATGGAACAAAATGAAGAATGATATCATGAAATAAGATAAAATAAAATAGGACCATGATCAAATAAATTATATATTTGACATTATGTTATATCTTATCCCATTTTCCTTGAATTAAAAAAATGGTATATGGAATCAACTTTTTTTATAAAAAAAAACTGATAACTTTATTAACTTCAAATCACTGTATTCGATCCTTTAATTTATATTATTTACCATCAGAACACAGCCAAAGGAATAAAATTCCATGCTTTATTTCTTTCTTATCAGACTTACTCTACTGCTACATATTCTTTCTTTCCATGCTTAAGAACTCTGAACCTTCCCTTAACTTTGGTACACGAATGAAGAAAAACCAAATTGCCAGCTTACAATAGGAATACAGAATAATAAGGACGGTTTAGTGGTCACTGAGATGAATGATATGAAAGCAAAAGTTTTATATATTTTAGTGATTCTCTGCATTCTGCAGTGCCATTTTATGTGTGTGAACACAAGATTGCTGAAAGGAACAAAGTTCTTAAACAGCAATATTTTTCAATCAGACCATAAAGCTTCTCTTCTATCTATGCTCATTGCATTTGGAACCATTACTAGAAAAAGCGAATATAAGGCAACAAATTACACAGGAAAAATTTCCTTACACCATTTAATTTTGGCCATGCATCCCTTTTTAGAAGCATGGACTAGTTGGAATGCAGTTGTGGAGAAAAATTATTGGTCCTCATTGTTTGTTTTTTAGTTGAAATATGACCCATAAAGATTCCCACACCTGGAATGCTTGGCTTAGGTACAACGAAGATCGATGAGTCTTAAATCAGTTTCCATTATTTGCTTAACTGACAAAAAAGTTCAGCAGGCAACACCAAGGTTTACATTTCATTTTCTTCTGCTTCAGAAATAGAAAACCATAAATAGGACATTAAATTTGAAGAAACAAATGAAGAAAGTTGGTGTACTTTGGCATTTTGGTTTATGATTTTATGTCTTGGAGAGAAAGGGTGACATAATTATTATATTATGATGTATGCATTATAGGCCCAACATTTGGAAAGAGGGGACAAGGATGATGAAATCTCCCATGATGCATTCTTTTCGGATTTGAGTACATGTTATGTTAGGAAAGCAAGTTTAGGGCATTTTTTTTTTATATATATATAAGAAAAGAGGCAAGCATGTGGCCAGCCATGCTATTGAATGGTTCACATGACTTGGTGAAAAAGTTGTCCTAATACTCAATATATTTAATGCATGATTAAATTTTTAATTGAGATCTAATTTTAGTAGGTTTTTCTGATGTCATTTGGCTAGAATGCTCTGGAATGTGTCAAGAGGATGAGAAATGCAGTAAAAGAAAAACTAAAAAAAAGTGTTTTTTTTTGGGTAAATATATGTAAAAGAAATTTGTATCGCTTTTTTCTGTAATAATTAAAATAAAATCAATTTAAAGAAATAAAATAAAACCTGCGATAGGTGAGGTTTTCAGATGTGGGTTTTCTTTATAGTGGAAAAAAAAATTAAGGATCAAGTGTGATGATAAAGATTTTTTTTTCTCCCTTTTCTCAACGTAATAAAACAACAGATTACCTTAATTAGTAAGAAAAGAAGAAACAAAGTTCATTTTCTGATATAAATGAATGACAATGTGGAGTCCAATTGATATGTGATAACATTGCCACTATGTAGTTGGAGTTGGTGACACTATTCATTTACCTTTGCAAACACAGTTTTTCAGAAAGATGCAAATTGGTAACCAGAAACTGCCATAGTCATATATATATATATATATATATATATATATATATATATATATATATATATATATATATATATATATATATATATATATATATATATCATGGATTTAAGAATTGAAGTTAGCAAGGTTTTTGTTAAATTAAAATATTACGTAGGCTTATAAACAAATCAAGTGTAAGATAAAGATGGGGACTTCCATGAGGTCAGAAAACTGCATGCGTTTGATCATGGACCCTACAGTATATATCAACAGCTTATTTTATCATTAATGGTTTACACCTCTCACACTTTACTCTCTAACACAGGTCTTAACTTTAGAGGAGGATATAAGCAATGCTTCCCCTTTGAGAGGGTCCATTCCATTCATTCGCGTTTAGAGTTAGAATTAAAAGCATTTTTTATTTTTGATGCTATTGGTCCTAAATAAAGTTATATATCAGCTTTTTACCCAATAAAAAAATAAATAAAGTTATATATGCCAATGGGTGTGCATATAGCACAACCAATAGAAATAGGTGTTTTAAAATGTAAGAAAAGTGTTGCTCAATGTTTCAAGTCCCTGATTTTATTTTTATAATGATAGGAATGAGATTTGAGCTTAAAATTTTACACAGTAGTCAAATTTTTACCTTGTGGTTGACCCTAATAAATTGACAACTCTCCAATCTATATTTGATCAGCAATTTGTCTCCCAATTTGCCATTTAATTCGTGATTGGTTCCTCTGATTGATTTCAACCTGTTATTGATTGTTACCCAGTTAGACACTGGATCTAGGTTAGAATCTTGAACTGTTGACTATATGAAACTAAAGAAATGGATTCCTCAGCATTAACAGTTCTCTAACTATTGTTTTGGGACAAAGATCTAAGCATTTATTTTCTCCGGCGAAATAGTAAATGCACGTTACCAACTATACACATGTTGACCCTGGAGCACGATCACGAGGGACAATAATCACGTGAGAATTTATTTAAAACAATTTTTAAACTTGTCGTATTTTTTTTTTTTACTTTCTTAATTGGTTATTGTCGTCTTCCCTATTTTTATCAGCAGCACTTATGACGAAAATGCCAGTATATTATATATTTCCATTTCTGAATATTAAAAATCATGAAAGAATTCGCACAACACAAAATACAATACGAAAGTTAAGGCATTAATATATCCTTTGGTATCTCATTTGAAATAAATAATAATTCGAAGTTCTTTAGAACATCTCTAATTTTCAAACTCTGAGTTCTTTTTTCTTTCTGGGTTGAATAACGCTGACGAAAATACAAAATTGGATTCATCAAAGGGACTAGTGCATTAAAGTAATTGAAGTTCATGAAATACAATTCTTATTGCATCTCCATTTTTCCAAAACAAATTAATGCATTTAGATACGTAGAAACAAGAACGAAGCATCTGTACCAGCTACATAAATTCTCTGTTCAATCATTAACTTTAAAACAATCATGCGAATGAAGAAAGGTTGGCTGCAACTGGCAAGTGATTTTGATAGTATTAAGTTCAAACTTATGTGACGCCATACACCAAACCAATATATTATAAAGCACTCAATCCAAACAATAGTATGAATGTTTACATAAACCACCAAATAACAGACAGGAGTCCTAGTAGAACACGTTCGCATTCTAATTCTTATCTTTGTGAATAAATTATACATCTCTCAGCAGGAAGAAGAGTCCAATAATTATCAAAGAGTGTAGTTTTGATTCACTAAGTTTTTGACATCATTGTTAATACGCAAGCCAATAAAAAAAGTTAAATTTGAAAACCATAATCATGATAGCGAGAAACCTTTTAATGGTTTGACAATAGATTAAAGGGCAAACTCAATTATTAGCTTAAATCCATTATTACTAATATCTTTAACTAAACAAATTAAAGACTTTAATACACAATTAATTACGTATTACACAATCGTCAATAAGCACCAGGTACCTGCAATTCTGCATATCATCAACAGTATCTGAGTAAAGAACTTTCAAAGAATGAATGCAGCTCCTCCTCTTCTATATCTTAATCAGTTTTATTAAGCATGACAAATAGAAACAAATCTATTAGCCCCAAAACTATCACCTAGACGACTCGTATAAACCCTGCACATTTGTCATTGAATAATGAATCAATAGTACAACCCATCTAGATTGCTCGTTATCCAACATCATGAACCTATTGATAACAGCATTTTCCGTTTATTGATATTTGATCAAATAAGTGATCATGGTCATGCTTTGGCTTTGCACTCACATTTATCAATGGTCATAATACGTATCAAAGACAGCACCTCGTGTGACTGTACATGGGGCATTCTCTACAGCGTTTCTTCGCTCATTATCGTGTGTTTCGCTTGTGATGCAACTATTGCACATTCTTTGGCATCTGCATTTTGTCAATGTGACTGAAGAGGGGACATTTCTCCAAGAGTTGTCCTTTTTATTCAATCCATAAACAATTATCTAGCTACCAATAATCCTTACAAGAGCAGACTCCATTTCTGAAATGATGGAAGCGTATTCTGTCTCTCACTACGATATCTCTTTGGTATATCTTGGAGATTAGTTTCATAAACTCGTGACAGTCCTCACAAGACCTTAGGTTCTTCACAATCCGTATTGCAGACGCTTGGCCTGTCCTAATTAGTCCATAAGCAAGAGCAAGCTTCTCACTATGGTGAAGCAACTGAACGGCCTTTTCCACATCATCCATCTCAAGCAAAACTTCGGAAACCATGGGATCATACCCTTCTTGTCTTAGCTTATCCACCACCTCATCCAATTTTACAAATATTTTCTCCGCCTCGGGGTGATTGTAATCTCCCATCACAAACTCATGCACACGACCATCAACCTCAATCCTACTAGACCCTGGGGGCTTCACCAGTCCCTTCTTGTTCATCAACTCCCTCACTTCTGCCTTCTTACTCCACTTCCCCGTTGACGCATAAACATTGCTAGCAAGAATGTAACTTCCACTATCATCAGCCCTCATGTCTTGTATCTCAAGGCACTTCATCAACCTCTCAGCCCTGTCAGCATCCCCATGAGTTTTACAGGCCCATATCAGCGTCCTCCAAAGCACGGCATCCGGTTCAACAGGCATTGCATTAACAAAATCTTCAGCTTCCTTCAACCGCCCTGCTCTAGCAAGGAGGTCCACTAAGCAACCAAAATGATGAATCGTAGGTTTCATCCCATAACGTTTTTGCACATCATTGAAAAACACGTAACCTTCATGAAACAAGCCTGCATTCCTACATGCGGTTAGAACCGCGGTCACCGTCTTCTCATCAGGCTTTACTCCAGAACCTTCCATGTCAACAAACATTTCAACAGCTTCTTTGGATAGCCCATGGCAGGCAAGGCCAGAAATCATTGCAGTCCAAACAAAAACGTCTTTGTCCAAAACATCATCAAACACCTTCCGTGCACTCTCTATGCACCCACTCTTAGCATACATATCAACAAGAGCAGTGGCAACATTGGACGAAGAGTAAACTCCAATTCCCCATCCCTTCAACTTCCCATGCACTTTCCTCCCCAAACTCAAGGCTCCAGAATCCGCACACGCTCTCAAAACAGACACGACCGTGGCCACGTTGACCTCTATTTTATATTCCAACATTCGCCGAAAAAACATGATAGCCTCAACAGGTCGATCATCGTTGACAAGCCCATCAATCATGGAAGTCCAGGAAACGACGTCTCTGTGAGGCATTGTATCAAACAGGGCCCATGCGAGGCCCACATCGCGAAACTCGGAGTACATGTAGATGAGAGCGTTCTGGATATAAAGGTCCGGGGCGAATCCGAGCTTGATGATGAGGGCGTGGAGCTGTTTGCCCTGAGGAGCGAGTTTGGAACGCGCGCAGCATTTAAGGAGGAAGGGGAAGGTGAAGTTGTCGGGAGGGGGGAAGTGGGGGGAGTGGGGGTGGAGCATGGAGAGGAAGAGGGAAAGGGCGCGGAGGTGATGGGTCGGGTTCGAGCTGTGGGAGAAGCCGCGAATGAGGGTGTTGTAGTAGTAGGAGTTGAGAGCGGGGTTGGTGGCGAGAAGAAGACGAGCGTAGTTGAGGTCGCCCATGGGAGAGAGAGCGAGGAAGGTGAAGAGGTTCGAGAAGTTGCGAGAGGCGTGGTGGTGCCGGAATCCCAGCTTCACCACTTGCCCGTGGAGTTGCAGGGCCTCCCACATGCTTTTCACCTCCATTGCACTTCCACACTTCAACCCTCCACCACCACCACCACCCCTTCTATTTTTGCACCTATTTCACTATTTGGTTACAGTATTACTTCTTCTTTTTTTTCCTGTTTTCTTTTTTATTATTATTCAAATTCATTTTTTTCTTTTATTTTTAAAAGAAGATTAAATTAAATGTATGTAAAGTTTTTTAAATGCTACTACTTCAAATATACAATTTTTAAAGATGATTAAATGTAATGTAATAAAGTGATTTCTTTTAAATGAGACCTACAATCATTTCAAAATTAATACTAAAATATAAATACATTAGATATATTTTTATCAATTAAATTAAATTTGAATGCATTCATTTCTATTATTTTACATTGATTAGTTATTTCAATATATGATTTTATTACCGTAAATTTTCATTTAACAGTTAATTTTTTAGTATTTGTTAGTTTTCTAACTCAGATTTTGCTAAACATAACTTTAAGTTAGTTAATTCTTAAACTTTATCAAGTAAATCAAATTAGTTAATTTTTTAACAACTTTGTTTAAAATAAAGTTAGAGTTAAGAACTAATCAACCCTTTTAAATCAATTATAATCTTTACAAATAATTTTATTATAGTGTAATATTAATTAATTTTAAGAATTGACACATATATCATTGTAATTTTCTATATTTTGTTTTAATATGAAATTGAATTGTTAAATTATTACTACGTGTTATCATATTTTGATACGACTGTGTCTAAAACTTTAATTACTATTCTTAAGATGTACATCTCTCTAAGTGAAGTTTATATATTTTCTACCAATTTACTTAAATACATGTGGTTTTCATGACTAATATATTAAACAGAAATTTAAAGAGAAGATATAATTATATTAAGTAAACAAAAACTAAAATCATATAAATAAAACACATGCAATGCAGGAGTTATTGTGGAAGATCATCTACCTGAAAAGACTACACATCTTTATTCTAAAGAACTAAGATTAGTAAGTTGTATTTTATTGATGAAAATGCACTAGTTCATGTTAAACAAGTATGATGGAATTGATTTTAGACGATTATGCAGATAGATTCAGAGTGGTTCATCGCAGTATTTGCATTTGCATTTCTTGAAAAAGAAAGCACATTGTCCTGAGATTGCATTGTCTGAGACCTGACAATGATGACTGCAAATGGAAGAATGGAAGCATCTTGCATGAGGCCACGTTTTACTGTTGCGCCAACATCTGCCTCTACCTTCATTCCCTTCAGAACCAGAAGAAGCTGTCCACACAAACACCCTTTCAAGTTATGATCAAATAAACAATCTATGTAGACACATGTTTTGATTCATTTTACATTATCTAGGTTTACTGTTCTTTTGTAATAAAGTTCAAATAAGACTCAATATTCAACGTGACTTGCCTGAGGTTACAAGAACAACGAGGACCAAAAAAACTGCAAATACTTGAATACGCTTAAGAAACCCAGCCATTGCTGTTCACTTTTGCTGCTATAGATTGATTGCGTGAGCAATGAAATGAGAATTATATATATATATATAGATACTCAGCATCGATGCTCTATCTCATGCTTTAGTGGTGATATCACAATTAGGTTAACCTCACAAATAACATGCACACCCCGCGAATCATGATGCCATGCCCTAGCTTTTTTACACCAAATCCTTAATTTTTATCTTGAGATAAAAAATAATTAAACATATATTTTTTCGCTTATCTCATCAAAATATTTTATCACATTATTATATTTATTTAACATTTAAAAAAAGTTTGTAATTAAATTACATAACTATTTAAATTTGATAATATATTTAATAGTTTATTTGTTAAAGTTTAATTTTTAACAATAATATTAAAAGTAAAAACAATTCTATATAATTTAATAATTATCTTTGCCGTAACATTTATACGAATTAATCATAGTCGGAAATAATAATTTATATCATGAAGATCTTAAACACATATAAGATGGAGAGTAATCATTTAACATGATTTATTTTATATATATATATATATATATATATATATATATATATATATATATATATATATATATATATATACTCAAAATAGTACTATCAAAATATTATTTTTGACGAAAATAGCTTTGTAAACTAATATTAGTATTTTTTTTTATTTTGATTTTTTTTGGATCCATCACACTTATTAGTTCTCCATTTTGAAAAAAACGTAAACTTCCTTTTAACGTCCATCAAACCAGAATTCAAAGGTAACGTAGAATGTATAATTAATTTCCTGATAATTGTTTAAAGTTAGTGTGTAGATATTTTAATTGATTAACAATATATTTTTTTAAATATTTATAGTATATCAAATTAAACTCAATATTTAGGTGTGAAGTTGAACCGATCAAAATTGTAATTTCATATATTAATGAATAAAAAATCATATTGGGTGTAGAAAAGGTTAGCATTATATTGAGTCAGAAAAAAATATTTTTAAACAATAAAGTGAGTTGAAATCTAACTTCTACTTCATCATATATATAGAGATGAATAATTGATTTGTTTTGTTGACTTTAAAGAAGTTGCAATCCGTTATCGGTTGATTTATTTATTCCGGCCAATGTTAATTGTTTCTTAATTAAGTTATTATTATCCATTTATAAACAAAATTAACTACTATTAAAATAAAATGGTTGGTATATGGATGACAATTAAACTCGTCTCCGTGGGGACCGACCCGTCTTCGCCCCGAGTTTGACGGAGAAAACCCGAGTTGATCATGGGCGGGGTGGGTTCGGGTTTTTCCCGCTTTAAAAAGTGGGGGCGGGGGCGGGGATGGGTAATGCAATCCCGACCCCGACCCCGACCCCGTCCCGACTTTATATTTAAATTTAAAATTTAAAATATTAATATTTTAAAAGTATTTTCTTTTATTTTTCTATTACATATAAAGTCATTTTTTTATATTTTACCAATTTTTATTTTTCTTCTACCTATTTTTTAATTTTTATCTTTTTTAATCTTTTATATCAATTAATTTATTATATTATTCTCTCTTATACCTTGTAGTTTTTCATATTTTCTTAATCTCTCTCATCAATTTGTTTTTTTTTCAATCTTTTCAATCAATTTGATGAACACAGTTAATTTTTTTATTCTTTATCTTTTTCTAAATATTTTACATAAATCTTAATAGTAACTAATATTATTTTATTTATAATTTATATTTATTAGATTTTATTATGTCGTTTGTTTATCTTATTATTCTTATTTATCATATATCAAATTTTATCTTAATAAAATAATTGTATTTTAAAGGATTAAAGGAATTGATATTTAAATTTTTATTACTTTGAATTAATTGAATAATAATTAACTTATTAAATATTTCATTAAAAACTATATATTTCATATTTTTAAATTACAACTTAAAAATAAATTAACTTATATATATAATCAAATGTTTGAATACAGTATTATAATAATAATGATAATGTTATAAGTATTCAAATATTTGAATACAGATATTATAATAATAATAATAATGTTATAAATAAAAAATGATTAAATATTTCTTTTACATACATATTTTAATATAAATATAATAAATTAAAATGTATATTTAATTAATAATTATTATAAATTATAAAATTATAAATATTTATTTATATATAAAAAATAGATAGTAAAATTAATTTATTATAAATGTAATTATCTTTTTAAAAATAATATAGATCGGGGACGGAACGGGAACCCGAAAGGGACGGGGATGTGAACTTAATTTTTAACCCCGACGGGGATCGAGGCGGGGACAGGGATAATTAAAAAGTCGGGAACGGGGATCGGGAGGCAAAACCCGCCCCGCCCCGCCCGTTGCCATGCCTAGGTTGGTATAGGGTTTGTTATGGGACCAAAGATCCACCAACTTATAAAACCTCACCTCATGGTTTCTCATTGACCTTTTTATTTAAATCAATTTTATCACAATTTTTCAAAAATAAAACATAAAAGAAAAATGACCAAAACAAAAACAAAAATAGTATATATTATAACCTCGTGAAACCTTATAGGAAAACAATAATTTAAGATTAATTGATTAATATTTATAATTTAATTATAATATTAGAATATATATTAATAACATGATATAAAAAATATAATATTTTTAATCATATAATTTATTTTATTTACATTTTAATATATAAATATTTTTTAAAAATAAGTCAATTTTTGCGTTCCAGATTCAACTACACTCTTCTAAACATATACCTATTTTACACTTGATGTTTATTTCTATCTCTCTACTTATTACATCATTTTTTTTAAACCTAATACTTTCTTCTCTTAATTATCTCTCTAATTGTAGAGGGGCTGATTAAGTGTTTATGAGACATTTTCCATGAAAAAAAATTAATTGGTCAACCCATTGTATCTAATCTGTTTTTTCATTAAATTAAAATATTATTAAAAAAACTTAATATTAATAATGAGATTATATATCATTAAATTGTATCTAGTGATACATTGAAACATTAGATTATTTATTTGGAATCCAATAAAACACAGTGACTTATATTTTATGAAAATAAAAAAATCTCTGGTAATTATATTTGTGGGATTCATAAAACTTGTAGCAAATATTTAATTAAGTTAATGGATCTCTAAAACAATTGTCAGAAATTTACCTTAGGAACAAAATTTGTGATGAAAAATAATTTGCCAATAACTTTTCCATCACAAAATTTAATATCTAATGACTTTTCCATCTTAGATTTTATCTTTTAAACACGTCTTAGTAAAATAAAAAATTAAATATATATAAATTATTATTCAACTCAATTTTTAAAAAATGATATGGAACTGATAAATATACATAAACATATATGTTATATTTAAATATTGTATGTTTGACTTAATATATATTTATAATTATCAGCAGGAACATAAAATAAAAAATATAATATTTTCTCAAAACATTTTTTTTTGCTTTTTATTTATTTATTTGAAAAAAAAACGGAATGTGTAGTGCACAAGATAGTGAGCTTCTGTTAATTGATAACCTTCTGCCCCCACTTGAAATTTCATTCTTTTATTTTTAAGGCAATATAATGTATAATTTTTTATTATATATATACATATATATATATATATATATATATATATATATATAATTATATATAATTTATTTTATTTGGTACAATTCTATTATTGGACACGAACAGATGACATAAGATAATAAAATATATTTTTAAAAACAATAAGTACGAGATCTCTTTCATTACTTCAATTAGGCGAAATTGAATTCAATTTTGTCTCTGAAAATACAAAGGTTCCTATTAGAATAAATAAAAATTAAAGTGTTATATCTTAATATAATTCTTCATTTTATGCAATGAACATGATTCCACACTTTAATTTTAAATATATTCTTCATGAACTCGTTTTTACTTCCTAAAAAAGAGACATTCACTTCTCCACTCTTCAACATATACTATAAACCACGTCAAATATGAATCTATGACTTGACATCACAAAAAATAAATAAATGTAAGAAACTTTTTCACGGGCTTTTAATGTGTGCGTTTATTTAGTATAAATAATCATTTGGGTATATAAAGAAGTACATTGGTAATAAATTAATCAATACAAATAAAATTATAATTTTATCCTTGATTTATAAAAAAATGTCATAATTAATATTAATTTTTATCTACTATCAAGTGTAAGGTATTATAAAAAAATTATTATCAATAAAATACAAACTAATTAAAATATAATATTATCTTTAACTTAAAAATGTTAAATATTAAATTTTAAGGTTTAGAATATATCTCTTCCTTAGTTTACCATATAAACCAATATTATTATTGGATGTATACGATAGAATTAATTATTATAAACATGAATAAATTATATAAAAAAAATATGACACTAAAACACTTAAAATCATTAAATTATAAGCTTTTTTATATTTTTGTATTTTAACTTAATATACAATTTTAATTATTGTGTTTCTAATACTTATTTTTTTATATTATTTTAGAATATTTAAAAACTAATTTGTCACTAAATCATTTAAGAATGAATTTCACACTAAATTTATAAATTTAATAGTAAAACAAACATAAAAATATATATTTATCATACTCTTCATTCATTTGATAACTAAATATAATTTTAATTTATTCTTAAACCAAAACGTGATTGTTTTACATGGAGAGGAAAATAATTATTTACTATTTCATTTAACGTATCTGATGTATATGATTTATTTAAACCGTATGAGATTACGCTAAAGTTTTACTTTAACTTTTTTTTAATCATATTTTTACCTTGCTCCAATTCTATCTAGCATGGTCTTATCCCTATGCAAATACCAAATTTAGATCAAACTATAAATTAATAATGAATGTAAACGAGCCCTGTCAGATAAAACTTTTGAAATTGATTTATGAACAAAATTGATTGCTCAATACACATTTATCTAAATAATGTTAATTGAAAAAACTATACTATATATGTATATATATTTAATTCAACGTATAACCAACAACAAATAAGTTTGAAAATTTAGGGGTAAGAAGAAAGAAAAGAAAGGAGACTTTAGAGATTGCTTAGGGTTAGGGAGACACACGCACTACAGTACCATACCAACCGAAAGGAGGGACAGGGAAAGTAGGAAGGAAGGTTTTGATTTTGGCTCTTGCAACCAACTTTTAAATAATATGCAAATAGACATAAAAAAACATTATTCTAACTTTCAATTCAACAAGTTACGTACATAATAACCAAATTTAAAAAAGTTAAAAGAATATTTAATAAAAAAGAAAGAAAGAAGAGTACTGGGCACAAAATTTCAAGAATATATGCAAAGATTGAGATAAAGGAAAAAGAAATTCATGAATGAATGAGATATTTACTGGGAACAAATTAAAAAGGCTTAAAGCTGAGGCCGCATAAATTCCCAGGCCAACCAAAAAAGCTACCTTCGCATATTACTATCAATAATTTTTATATTATACTATGTAATTATTTTTTTATTATAAAAAGAAAGAAAAAAAATAATATTTGATATAAACTTCCTTTTGAGAAGTGTTTTTATAACAAGCTGTTGAGAAGCATTTTTGGTTTTATAATTTCAGAAAACTCAAGTGCGAATCGCCGCTACTGAAGAAGAGGGAGGGTCCTCAAAACGGCGTAAGAAACAGCTGAAACGCTCCTCTTCTCTTCTTTCCGCTCTCTCTTTCTCTCTCTCGTGTGGCACTTGGTTTCGTCGAAAGGTACGCGTGCGTCGGTTTCCTAGCTTAAGATGGGTTCATTTTGTACCAAAAACCATGTGTATGTTCCTAATTTCAAATCACTTGTTTTTCCTTTCCCTCCTTAATTACTAGAATACTAATTACTTTTGTTGTTATTGTTCATACTCTTAAGGTCTTGAATGTGAATTCCGATTCTTCACCGTTTATTTCGGATCCTTCTGACTTTTATTACAGTGAGCTCAATGTTTTCTCTGTTTCGGTTTTTCGGTTTCCTTTTGTCTTTTTTGAATTTGTTTTTGAAGACTGTATCAAATTTATTGAATCATCTCTGACGCCCTTTTCAATTTTGGGTAATTTCATTTTTCTTTTTCCTTTTCTTGTCTCGCCAGTGGTTGTAGGTTTGTACGATTTCCGTGACGAGAGTAGGATATCATTTTTCTTTTCCAAATCATAATACTATTGAAGCTTTTCCCCTCTTCCTGTGTATTGTACTGTTTTGAAATTTTGTTTGTTCATCACTATCAATATTCTATTGATTTAGATCGTTTATGCAGTTTATGCTGTTTATTTTCTGTCTTGGAAGTGATTCGCTTCAGCGTCCTCTTCAAATTAGAAAACACTGATTGTCCTTACCCTCTTCCAGTCCTAAACTTAATTTTGTTCTTTCTCTTATGCCCATCTTATATGGGATATTTTATTAGGAATTTTGTTTACTTGAGCAAGATTACCGGTTGAGTACAGTGAATAACGTTTTTTGGATAATGCTTTTGACTGTCATGTTATTGATCGTTGCAATTGATGGTGTGGCTTTTTATGACTGTTCCAGGGATTTGTGCTGTGTTCACAAGTGAATGGTTGTATTTGTTGGTGCAATCGGTGGTTATGTTGGTCTAAGAAACTAAGAACTCTTGCGACTTCACAATGGGTGCTGCTTGTTGTGTTGCTACCAGAGACAAAAATATACAAAGTGGATCAACCAGTGACATTTTGCATCGGAATGTTCGATGTTCTCCAACATGGAGCTTTCGGTGGGATCACCGAGGGCGTGTGGCTGGTGAAGATACTTCTATAAATTGGTTTTCTGATGGTATAAGCAGGAATGATGGTTCAGAGAATAAAATTGAATCAGCATATGTGTCAGAGGACGGAAGTCCATTGCAGAATTATCAACGGAAAAGATGCCAACAATCTCCAATTTCGGAAGCAGCTGCTGTACGTGGGAGAAATTCAACTTCAGGTACCTCTTGGGAATTCAGCTTTCTGGTTTTAAACATAAATCTACTTGGATTGAACTTTTCTATAACTGGCTGTTGTGTCGGTTATTTCATAGCTTATTCTACACGTATAATGACCGAGACGTGTGAAAGATATGAAATTTTAGTACACAGTGGTATCTGAAAGTTGGAGATATGATCTCTTCCCACTTATTTCTGTGTCAAAAGCAATCAGACACGAGGAAAATTAGCATCAAGTCTGGCTTCTTAAATCGATAGTTCTGTAAAGGCTCAAATTTCTGTCTGAGTTAATGAGAGGGCAGAAGCTGAAATAGCAGTGACAGAGCAGAAAGCACAGAACTATGTACTGCTTTTGCTTTATTTTTTACATTGTCACAGTAGCTAGCCTGGAGAAGTTAGATTAGATTGTTGTAAATATGATGGCACTGTTAATCAAAGAAATGAACTGTTAGGAGTTTTAGTTTGTCAGTGCTAATCAATAAATCATGACAATGGAAGAGCAGCATATCTTTTTATTCAGAAACTTGAATGATATTTAGTTACATACTTCCAGCTTGTGAGATTAAGAAACCAAATTTCCAAACAATTTTAGATTTTTTTGGGATAATCATCATTTTTTTCACAGACAGGAGATGTTGGTGATAGTTTGTAGACAAATAAAAGCGAAAGACTGAAGTATGAATAAGAATGAATTCATATCAACAACCTTTTTCTATTAAAATAATTGATGAATCAAACATATTGAGTTTAGTAGGAAGTCACCATTAAAATAAGAATGAAAATTTCCTACTGTATCTTTGTTTGTAATCCCTATAAAAATATTCAAGGTTGCTTTTCAATCATTTGTGGTCCATCTCCTTGGCTCAGGAACACTGGAGATCATCCTTACATCATCACATCTTGAAAGCTATTTATTTTCTTATAAATATTTTGTTTCTATATCTTCTGAGGGTTCTACCTGACAAGATAAAAAGGGAAAAGTTCCTTTGTCGTGCATTTTATATCTTAAAGTAGTTATACGGAAGGGAAATCAGGAAAAAAATTTCTTAATACTTGGTTTAGCCAATTTAGCTTTTAGTTCAGGATATTGAAGTTTTTGGTTATTTAGAAAGTTGTAATTTTATTACTACTTCCTACAAGCGAACCTGGGAATATAATTTAGGCAACTAAGAAAATAAATATGATAAGGTGGTTTTGTATTTCTTACTTTGCAGCCTATAAGAATATGATCAACTCCCTCTAAATTTAACTAATTCAGTGTTTTACAATTATTTTGCCAATTGGTTCATTTATAGTATCTGACATGGTTATTTGTGACTTGCAGACCAATCTTTTTCGAGGATTGTTTCAACGGATGTGAGTGTGGAACAGGTGAGGTTCTAGTAGCGAATGTGTGTGTGTAGGGGGTATATTTAGTGAGAAGATATTTTTTATGACTGAAAAAAATAAATATTAACAGTAGATATTATCATCAACGATTGAGATGAAAATGCATGTTTAGGAGTAATTTTCATAACTCACCTGACTCTACTAGATATGCACTCACCACCATCACCACACACATATATTTCGTATGTGACTTCTTCGTAGCACTTCCTAACGATGAATCACACTCTAGGTGAATGGGCTGGCAGAATCATCAATAATATCTTGTCCATCTCCCACAAAACCATCATTGCCTTCAACTTCATTGTCAACATCTCCTCTATCATCCCAATGTCACATACCTCCAACAAGCTTGACCCCTTTAAGGTGGCCCTGCCATTCCCCAGGGTACCAGCTATCACAGCCAGCTTCTGATAGTCGAATCCCAGCAGTCAAGTCACCCAGCAGTTTCTCTCTGTCTGAAGAAAGGCCAGTGTTTCCTTCATGGAGCAATGAAACGGGTATGCACTCACATGGTGGATCTTCAGATGGTTGGTCTATACCTGGCTTTTCTGAGCTGATGGGAACTCCTCACAGAGAAAGGTGGTCGTTTGATAGTGAGTCCTTTGGTTTTAACAATGAAAGATTAGTTAGACCCAGTAGTTGGTTTTCGTCCTCACCAGTTGATTTGCAATCATGTGGAATTTGCTCAAAACTTTTAGTGGAGAAGTCTTCTTGGAGCACTCAAACGATAATTGCGATTTCTGTAGTTTCTGTCCTTATCTGCGGACATGTCTATCATGCCGAATGTTTGGAGAGAATGACATCTGATATCAATAAGTATGATCCAGCTTGTCCAGTTTGCACTTTTGGTGAAAAACAAACGATGAAGTTGTCTGCAAAAGCTCTGAAAGCTGAAATGGATTTGAAGGCTAGAAACAATAAATCAAAGAATCGGATTGTGGACAGTGATATTGATGATGATTCTGTTGTGTATGATCACTTTAAAGGGAGAGGGTTTAAAGGTAAAGGTCCGAAGAATGACTCCAGTTCCAGCAAGAGAAGCTCTTTTGGGAAACCATTTTTGCGGCGACATTTCTCCTTTGGATCAAAGGCTTCCAGATCCATGCTAGATAATCACCCTACAAGAAAGAAGGGTTTCTTTTGGGCAAAATCTAGCAAGGAATAAGCTGATTCTTGGTTGTTGGGAGGTCAGTGGCATTCTCGTTCTTTTTCTTGCATGTGTATGTTTATCAGTAGCATCTTTAGCTTATCAGTGGCATTATCTTCCATTTGTTGCGTGCGTATGTTCATCAGAGCATCTTTAGATTATGGCATGCGTTGCAATGAAGAAGAAATTTGGTATTGCTGCTTTTCCATTCTAAGTTCCCAAATTATTTTTGTACTTCAAGGTTCTTCTGCGTTTAGTCGTGTTCAACAGAAGTTAAACTTCAAACATTTGCTATGCCCCAGGTGGAAACTCGGTACACTGGAAATCTTCAACAATTCTTCTGTACTGAACACAATTTTTTTCATTACTTTATATAGCAGGTTAAGTTGTTGATCATCGGTGCATCCGCTGAAGGTTTAGGAAAGTACAAGAGGCAATTCATTTTGGAGCATCTGTATACACTAATCTGCAATTTCAACAGGATAAGAGGTTGAAGTTACTCTGTAAAGAAGAGATACAGAAGTATAAGATGAAACATACAGACGTAAAAAATAGTGTTTCGAGACCAAGGGTCTTTCTGCATTGTGTACAGGTTGATTTGTTTATTTCATGGTTAAAATTCTTATATCCGAATGATGTTTTGTTGACCATGGTTCTCCTTATATGTAATGCAAAAGTTTCAGAAGTTGGGTAATGATGGTCTTCACAGATTGATAGGCAATACCAATTATTTGAATCGACTTTAGTTGGCTGCTTTTAATGAAAGAGCAGTTTCAGGATAGCCTATTATCAAATTAATGTTTTTTGTAGTTAGAGGATTGCATTATATACATATTCTGATGTGTTGCTTTTAATGAAAGAACGTTTTCCGCATAGCATCCTGTCAAATTAATGATTTTTTGTCGATAGCAAATTGAATTATATGCATCGTTCACTAGGTTGTGTGCTTTCATTATGGTGGAAGGAGTTATGTTGCTTCAATGTTGAATCATGTAGTCTTAAAATTAATTAATTTTAATTTCACTTATGGATGTCCTGAGAATGGTAGGTGATACTATTTCTTTTTCTTTGTCCATTTGTCGCTGATTTTTTACCTCACTTAACTGTTTACTTAAACATTTATGATAATACTATCTAGAGTTTAGTTTGTTTTATATATGATCAGTATTCATTTTTTTTTCACTCAAACCAGTTAACCTGTATCTTAAGTGTATGACTTCTAAAATAGCTTGAGGTGATTGGTAATATAAAGAAGTTTATACTATCAGTATATTTAAATGGAATTCTATAAAAGTATGTTTTAAATATATTCTTATTTTTACTTATACTGTATACTTTATATAGAAATGATAAAAATAATAATTATGAAGACAGTATTAGAGATATTGAAATTGTTTTATTATAAATGAAAAAATTAAATATGTTAAGAATTAAGTAACAACAATTAGTACATAACAATTATTATATTAGATCAACGCCCATAGTGTCCCTATCAGCAGCATCCTTGATTTGTTTGTGTTCTTGTGAGGACAGTTAATATAAGCCTACAATGTGAAAGGTACAAAACAAAAAAATGCATGAGGCAAGATTGAAAGTATTAGGGTGGAGCATTAAATGTGAGAATTAAAACCATCATATGAATACCTTGAACTGAACAGAACAGTCATTGACCTGTTCTTCGAGTCACTAACTCGTAACTCTATAAATATCAGTCACATAAAACGCATTAATAGCTACAAAGCATGATCAGAAGATCAATATGGTCCCAGTTAGGATGGCAAAACGGGTTAGGTCCGGTGGGCTGGCCCGCCATAATATGGCGGGGTGGGTTGATGTTTTCAGCCCACCAGCCCGCTTTGGCCCGCCCGCCAACCCGCGGGACGGGGCGGGCCAGCCCGCGGCCCGCCTAATTAATAAAAAAATAATTTTTTATTGTAATAAAATTAATTATAAAGATAATATATAAAGTTAAAAATTTTAAAAAAAGAATTAAAAAAGTTTCATTCTCACAGAAAATATTCTCCTTCCCGAAATATAACCTTCTCTCATGTTCTCCTTATTTATCCTAAGCACTGATTATATTTATCCTTATTACTTGAATTAAAGATATAAGAATTACTCAACCAAGAATAATATGAAGTTTTATCAAATAAAAAAGATATAGGTATTTGAATTTTACAATATAAAAAATATAAATTTTATAAGTTTAACGTTATTTATATATATATATATATATATATTTTTTTTATTATTATTTATTATTATGTAAATTTTATTATTGTTCTAAATTATAATTTCTTAAAATAATGTATTGATTTATATTATTAAATTGAAATAATATATATATATATATATATATATATTGAATTATTGACAAACAAATAATAATCTTATTATTAAATTTATTAAAAAAATTATTTAAAAAAATTATTTTTTCTAAATTATAGCGGACCAACCCGCTAGCCAGCCAACCCGCCTTGGCGGGGCGGGCCAAGGTCTACGGCTCGTCATGACTATATCGGGCCAGCCCGCCCCGCCCCGCTTTTGGCGGGCCAAAGGCGGGGCGGGCCAAAACGGGGCGGACTGACCCGTTTTGCCATCCCTAGTCCCAGTCTCCCAGACCCGAACTCTGTCACAGTAATATCCTCGCAAGTTGTATAGAAAAATAAACAAAAATATCTATAATAATAATAATAATATATCTATTATTATATTGAGTCATATAACACATATCTTATAAATATGGTTTGTTTATCAGCAAACGTGATTTTGTGGTTACTGGAATCAAATGCCAATCAGGGTCTACAGGTGTATGAGATTCTTATTGGATTACTAGACAAGTCTGGATTAGAAATTATCCAAGATTCTCATTACGCACCACATACTGTGAAGGTATAACATCTTTTTTATACAACTCTAATTCATATGATAGAATCAGTGACCAACAATTCATATTTATATTTTCCTTGATTGCTTTATAATAAAATATCCCCTTTACAAGTTGAGTTACCATATGGTGATCACTGAAATAATGGGCTATATATTAAGATCACATATTTATTAATTGAATTCCATTTCTAAATTGTATTTCCAAAACAGCTCTGTGGGACTTGCCATTTGGCCATGTCTCACTCTGCAAACTTAGGTACTCTGTCTGAAGATATTTTCGCAATTCATGTTAATAAAAGATGAAGTTTGTGGCAAAGAAACGTTAATCAGTAGTAGTTATGGCTTTTGAACTGCAATATATGGATATTGAAGTCCGAATTCAGTACATTCAATCCAAGTTCGTATGAATTTCATCTGAATTTCTTAACTGTATTATAGATTTCTAGTGCTGAAATCTGCCTACGTTTCCATAAACTAAAAGTACCGGATAAGTGTATACGTAACCCTACAAACAGAGGGACACCTGTCCTTATTCCTCTTACGTGGCAACAGGTGTGAGGTGTCAGCGTCTGGCCAAGCCACGTGCTAGCGTGGAATTACATGCAGATGTTCACCGCCAAACACAGTTTAAATAGGGTATGTTATGTAGAAGTTGAAGAGAAGACCCAAGTGAGGAGTTGAAGGAAATTGAAATGGCTGAAGCGCAACTACGAGACCAGCACGGTAACCCGGTTGTGTTAACCGACGAGCACGGCAACCCCGTCCACCTCACCGGTGTCGCAACCACTGTTACACCCGCCGCTACTGCAGGTTCTGGGTTTGGGACCTACGGTGCTAGTGCACACGGTGGTGGTGCAACAACAGATACAGCCACCGTCGCGGATCTCATCGCAACCCAACCAAGGGACACTAGAGAGCTTCGTCGTTCCTCCAGTTCTAGCTCTAGCTCGGTACCTACCATTTTCTTTTCTCCCCCTCCCTTTTCCTTAATCGTTTTGTAAATTTATACGAAAATTGTTGAAGCTACATTAAATTGAATTTCACCATAATTTTGTTGAACGTGTTTGCATGTGTATGTAGTCTGAGGATGATGGGCAAGGTGGAAGGAGGAAGAAAGGAGTGAAGGATAAAATAAAAGAGAAGGTACCAGGGAGGAAGAATATGGAGCAGCATTCACCACCAACAACTACAACAACAAGTACTACAACCGCTGTTACCGGTGTTCCCCACCCGACGCCGCCGCCAACTGCCACTGACCCTAACCCTAATCACCCTCAGAAGAAGGGCATAATGGAAAAGATCAAAGAAAAATTGCCTGGGCACCACAACCACTGAAAATCTATACACATAATTTTATGTCTAGGTTACTGCATCTTATGTCATGATCTAGTTTGATTAGTTATTAATAGTTAACTAATTAGTTGAAATTATATATGCCTTGTATTATGTGAAGGGACTTACTTCTAAATCATGCATGTATATGGATGTGAGCGCGTGTAGCTCAATTAATTAGTATTATCTCCCATCATCAGTGTGGGATCTGCTTTCAATTTAATTTAGTTTTGCTTCAACGTAAGAGTTAGTGAAAAAATCAATAAAGGGTTCCAAAAAGCGGCATCGAAGAATGCATCATCATCGAAGAATGCATCATCATCGAAGAATGCTGCATCGAAGAATGCATCATCATCGAAGAATGCAGCATCGAAGAAGAATGCTGCATCGAAGAAGAATGCTGAATGCTGATGAATCGAAGAAGAATGCTGAATGATGATGAATCGAAGAAGAATGCTGAATGCTGATGAATCGAAGAAGAATGATGCATCGAAGCATCGAAGAAGAATGATGCATCGAAGCATCGAAGAAGAATGATGCATCGAAGCATCGAAGAAGAATGATGCATCGAAGCATCGAAGATGAATGCTGCATCGAAGCATCGAAGAAGAATGCTGCATCGAAGAAGAATGATGTCTTCGACGAATCTTGATCTTGAATCGAGAGTTTCGATGATGCATCATCGAAGCATCGAAGATGAATGCATCATCGAAGCATCGAAGAAGAATGCAGCATCGAAGCATCGAAGAAGAATGCTGCATCGAAGCATCGAAGAAGAATGCTGCATCGAAGAAGAATGCTGCATCGAAGAAGAATGCTGCATCGAAGAAGAATGCTGAATCGAAGATGAATGATGTCTTCGACGAATCATCGAGAGACGAACGAATCTTGATCTTGAATCGAGAGACGAACGACGAACGAATCTTGATCTTGAATCGAGAGACGAATCTTGAATCTTGAGGAGAATCTTGAATCTTGAATCGAGACGAGAATTGATAGAAGAAGAACGGATCGAGACGAGAATTGATAGAAGAAGAACGGATCGAGACGAGAATTGATAGAAGAAGAACGAATCGAGACGAGAATCGTCGAAGAAGAACGAATCGAGACGAGAATCGTCGAAGAAGAACGGATCGAGACGAGAATCGATAGAGGGTCGAGAATCGAGACGAGAATCCATAGAGGGTCGAGAATCGAGAATTAAATGAAGATCGAGAATCGAGAATTAAATGAAGAATTGAAAATTGAGAATTGAAGAATTGAAAATCGAGAATTAAATGAATTAATTGAAGAATTGAGAGTCGAGAATTAAATGAAGAATCGAGAGTCGAGAATTAAATGAAGAATCGAGAGTCGAGAATTAAATGAAGAATCGAGAGTCGAGAATTAAATGAAGAATCGAGAGTCGAGAATTAAATGAAGAATCGAGAGTCGAGAATTAAATGAAGAATCGAGAGTCGAGAATTAAATGAAGAATCGAGAGTCGAGAATTAAATGAAGAATCGAGAGTCGAGAATTAAATGAAGAATCGAGAGTCGAGAAGAATAAAATGAAGAATCGAGAGTCGAGAATTAAATGAAGAATCGAGAGTTAAAGAAGAATCGAGAATTAAATGAAGAATCGAGAGTTAAATGAAGAATCGAGAGTTAAATGAAGAATCGAGAGTTAAATGAAGAATCGAGAGTTAAATGAAGAATCGAGAGTTAAATGAAGAATCGAGAGTTAAATGAAGAATCGAGAGTTAAATGAAGAATCGAGAGTTGAGTCGAGAGTTAAATGAATGAAGAATCGAGAGTCGAGTCGAGAGTTAAAAGAGAGGAGAATCGAGAGTTGACTAGATAGAAGAATCGAGAATCTAGAAGAATCAATCGAGAATTAATAGAAGAATCGAGAATCTAGAAGAATCAATCTAGAAGAATCAATCGAGAATTAATAGAAGAATCTAGAAAAATCAATCTAGAAGAATAAATCGAGAATTAATAGAAGAATCTAGAAGAATCAATCGAGAATTAATAGAAGAATCAATCAAGAATTAATAGAAGAATCAAGAATTAATAGAAGAATCAAGAATTAATAGAAGAATCAAGAATTAATAGAAGAATCAAGAATTAATAGAAGAATCGAGAATTAATAGAAGAATCGAAAATTAATAGAAGAATCAAATCGAGAATTAATAGAAGGATCGAGAAAGGATTAATAGTAAAAGAATTGAGAATTAATAGTAGAAGAATCGAGAATTAATAGTAGAAGAATAGATAGAAGAAAAAGAGGAGATTCTTGATAGAAGAATCGAGAATCGAGAATTGACTCAATAGAAGAATCAATCGAGAATTAATACAAGAATTGAGAATCGAGAATTAATAGTAGAAGAATCGAGAATTAATAGTAGAAGAATCAGAAGAATCGAGAATTAATAGTAGAAGAATCGAGAATTAATAGAAGAATCGATAGAAGAAAAAGAGGAGAATCGATAGAAGAAAAAGACGAGAATCGAGAATTGACTCGATAGAAGAATCGAGAATCGAGAATTGACTCAATAGAAGAATCAATCGAGAATTAATAGAAGAATCAATGAGAATTAATAGAAGAATCGAGAATTAATAGAAGAATCGAGAATCGAGAATTAATAGAAGAATCAATGAGAATTAATAGAAGAATCGAGAATCGAGAATTAATAGAAGAATCGAGAATCGAGAATTAATAGAAGAATCGAGAATCGAGAATTAATAGAAGAAGAATCGAGAATTGAGAAGAATCGAGAATTAATAGAAGAATCGAGGGAAGAATCGAGAATTAAGAATCGATAAAATAAAAAGAGGAAAATCGATAAAACAAAAAGAGGAGAATCGAGAATTGACTCGATAGAAGAATTGAGAATTGACTCGATAGAAGAATCAATGAGAATTAATAGAAGAATCGAGAATCGAGAATTAATAGAAGAATCGAGAATCGAGAATTAATAGTAGAAGAATCGAGAATTAATAGTAGAAGAATCGAGAATTAATAGAAGAATCGAGAATTAATAGAAGAATCGATAGAAGAAAAAGAAAAGAATCGATAGATGAAAAAGAGGAGAATCGATAGAAGAATCGAGAATTAATAGAAGAATCGAGAGAAGAATCGAGAATTAAGAATTGATAGAAGAAAAAGAGGAGAATCGAGAATTGACTCGATAGAAGCATCGAGAATCGAGAATTGACTCGATAGAAGAATTAATCGAGAATTAATAGAAGAATCGAGAATCGAGAATTGACTCGATAGAAGAATCAATCGAGAATTAATAGAAGAATCGAGAATCGAGAATTAATAGAAAAATCGAGAATTAATAGAAGAATCGAGAATTAATAGAAGAATTGAATCAAGAATTAATAGAAGAATCGAGAATTAAAAGAATCGAATCGAGAATTAATAGAAGAATCGAGAATCGAGAATTAATAGTAGAAGAATCGAGAATTAATAGAAGAATCGATAGAAGAAAAAGAGGAGAATCGATAGAAGAATCGAGAATTAATAGAAGAATCGAGAGAAGAATCGAGAATTAAGAATTGATAGAAGAAAAAGAGGCGAATCGAGAATTGACTCGATAGAAGAATCGAGAATCGAGAATTGACTCGATAGAAGAATTAATCGAGAATTAATAGAAGAATCGAGAATCGAGAATTGACTCGATAGAAGAATCAATCGAGAATTAATAGAAGAATCGAGAATCGAGAATTAATAGAAGAATCAAGAATTAATAAAAAAATCGAGAATTAATAGAAGAATCGAGAATTAATAGAAGAATTGAATCGAGAATTAATAGAAGAATCGAGAATTAAAAGAATCGAATCGAGAATTAATAGAAGAATCGAGAATCGAGAATTAATAGTAGAAGAATCGAGAATTAATAGTAGAAGAATCGAGAATTAATAGAAGAATCGATAGAAGAAAAAGAGGAGAATCGATAGAAGAATCGAGAATTAATAGAAGAATCGAGAGAAGAATCGAGAATTAATAGAAGAATCGAGAGAAGAATCGAGAATTAAGAATTGATAGAAGAAAAAGAGGAGAATCGAGAATTGACTCGATAGAAGAATCGAGAATCAAGAATTGACTCGATAGAAGAATTAATCGAGAATTAATAGAAGAATCGAGAATCGAGAATTGACTCGATAGAAGAATCAATCGAGAATTAATAGAAGAATTGAGAATCGAGAATTAATAGAAGAATCGAGAATTAATAGAAAAATCGAGAATTAATAGAAGAATCGAGAATTAATAGAAGAATTGAATCGAGAATTAATAGAAGAATCGAGAATTAAAAGAATCGAATCGAGAATTAATAGAAGAATCGAGAATCGAGAATTAATAGTAGAAGAATCGAGAATTAATAGTAGAAGAATCGAGAATTAATAGAAGAATCGATAGAAGAAAAAGAGGAGAATCGATAGAAGAATCGAGAATTAATAGAAGAATCGAGAGAAGAATCGAGAATTAAGAATTGATAGAAGAAAAAGAGGAGAATCGAGAATTGACTCGATAGAAGAATCGAGAATCGAGAATTGACTCGATAGAAGAATTAATCGAGAATTAATAGAAGAATCGAGAATCGAGAATTGACTCGATAGAAGAATCAATCGAGAATTAATAGAAGAATCGAGAATCGAGAATTAATAGAAGAATCGAATCGTGAATTAATAGAAGAATCGAGAATTAATAGAAGAATCGAATCGAGAATTAATAGAATAATCGAATCGAGAATTAATAGAAGATCGAGAATTAATAGAAGATCGAGAATTAATAGAAGATCGAGAATTAATAGAAGATCGAGAATTAACAGAAGATCGAGAATTAATAGAAGATCGAGAATTAATAGTAGAAGAATCGAGAATTAATAGAAGATCGAGAATTAATAGTAGAAGATCGAGAATTAATAGAAGATCGAGAGAAGAATTAATAGAAGAATCAATAGAAGAATCAATAGAAGAATTAATACGAATTAATAGAAGAATTAATAGAAGAATTAATAGAAGAATTAATAGAAGAATTAATAGAAGAATTAATACGAGAATTAATAGAAGAATCAATACGAGAATTAATAGAAGAATTAATAGAAGAATCAATAGAAGAATTAATAGAAGAATCAGAAATTAATAGAAGAATCGGGAATTAATAGAAGAATCGGGAATTAATAGAAGAATCGGGAATTAATAGAAGAATCGAGAAGTAGTAGAAGAATCGAGAAGAATCGAGAATTAGTAGAAGAACCGGGAATTAATAGAAGAATCGGGAATTAATAGAAGAATCGGGAATTAGTAGAAGAATCGAGAAGTAGTAGAAGAATCGAGAAGAATCGAGAATTAGTAGAAGAATCGAGAAGAATCGAGAATTAGTAGAAGAATCGAGAATTAGTAGAAGAATTGAATCGAGAATTAATAGAAGAATCGAATCGAGAATTAATAGAAGAATCGAGAATTAATAGAAGAACATAAATCGAGAAGAATCGAGAATTAATAGAAGAACCGAGAATTAATAGAAGAACCAAGAATTAATAGAAGAATCGAGAATTAATAGAAGAACCGAGAATTAATAGAAGAACACTTAAATCGAGAATTAATAGAAGAATCAAGAATTAATAGAAAAACATAAATCGAGAATTAATAGAAGAACACTTAAATCGAGAATTAATAGAAGAATCGAGAATTAATAGAAGAATACTTAAATCGAGAATTAATAGAAGAACACTTAAATCGAGAATTAATAGAAGAACACTTAAATCAAG